AACCATCGGAATACATCATCCGTTTTAAGCCGTGTACTGTACTCTTGTTTCAAGCTCGGAGTGTGATAAATTATTCTATTTGTGCAAGCAAAAAAAGAAAATTTTATCTTTTCTCATTAACCACTGCCTTTATTTATTTATGTAAAAAAAATGTGGTGTCATTATTTGCCCTGGTCCTAAGTGGAATAAATTATATTTAAGGATGTATTTTCATATATATTTATCTCTGTCGATTTGTTTTTCCAAGCTTTATTTTACCTGAATTAACTGTGCTTACTTAATTGAAAGCAGAGTGGATGGGCCTTACCTTTCCAAACATGAGACTGCTGAAGTATCAGCATTGTGGGTGCCACCCTGGTTGGCCCGAACAGAGGCACTCACAGGGTGCCTAACGCCTCTGTGTGTTTATGTCCAACATCTACACAGGTTTCATCCTTTATTCAAGAATATTAATAATATAAAATGAAGGATCATACCTCGATGAAGGAGCCATATGTGTTTGTTTTAGAAAGCGGAAGAGTCAGTCACAGGCAGAGGAGGGGGGAAGTCTTAAGTCTGGACTTGAACAGAGGCAGGAAGTTGACAGCAAGGATGGCTTGGGGAAGGGAGTTCCAGACCACAGTGTAGCGGAGAAGAATGAGCATCCTCCGTAAAGCAGAGATCGACTGGGTGCTTTGACAGAGGTCTTGGTTGCAGGAACAGAGAGCGTGTGAAGAGGAGTAGAGTGAGATCAGAGTCCACAGCTTAGCAGGGGCGAGTCCTTGAAGGATCTTGATGGTTGTGACTTCAACATTGAAATGTATCGGGTGAAGGTACTGGAGTATTGGGGTGACGTGGCCACATTTATGGTTTTGGGTGAGCAGTCCGGCATCGATATTTTGGATAATTTGGGCTCTGAAGATCAGGGATCGTGGGGAGGCCGTAGAGGATAGAGGTTCGGTAGTCGAGTTGTGATCTCAGTCAAGGTGCTTAACATTGTAACAAAACAAAAAACGTTAATTATGGAGCTTTCGTGACTGCAAGAATTATTCTTTGGTTCTTTCGGTTAAGTCACGTCTAAAGATAAAATAATAAATTAAAATAAAAGCATATTACGACGTTTCGATTGCAACACAAGCAATCATCATCAGGTAAAAAAGAAAAAGCAACAAAAATCTAACTAGAAAACTATAGACAGACATACAAGCAGACAGACATCACAAGGACACACAGAGAGAGGACACATATCGGCACAAAGAGAGGGGTCGTTTCTGTGACGGTCCCTTAAATATAGAGAGGGGGCAAGGACGGAGAGAGGGAGGGGGTAGAGAAAATTAGCATATCAATGAGTGGACTGCAAAGTGCTGCTGCTGCGCAAGTAAGATGACGACGTGGCACGGCACGCAAGCTTGTAAATTAAGAGAAAGGCACACTAAAATTAAATAACCTCGCAAAATATCGAAATGTGATGTAATACAACACAGAGAGTCGGTCAACACACAATTAACGCATAGCCTGGTTGATTACGTATCTCAAAGATTGCTAAGCTATTTGTTCTCTCTGCCTGTGTCCTCTCTTTGGAAGTTTCACACTTAAATTCTAACTTAGCAATCTTTGAGATACGTAATCAACTAGGCTATGCGTTAATTGTGTGTTGACCGACTCTCTGTGTTGTATTACATCACATTTCGATATTTTGCGAGGTTATTTAATTTTAGTGTGCCTTTCTCTTAATTTACAAGCTTGCGTGCCGTGCCACGTCGTCATCTTACTTGCGCAGCAGCAGCACTTTGCAGTCCACTCATTGATATGCTAATTTTCTCTACCCCCTCCCTCTCTCCGTCCTTGCCCCCTCTCTATATTTAAGGGACCGTCACAGAAACGACCCCTCTCTTTGTGCCGATATGTGTCCTCTCTCTGTGTGTCCTTGTGATGTCTGTCTGCTTGTATGTCTGTCTATAGTTTTCTAGTTAGATTTTTGTTGCTTTTTCTTTTTTACCTGATGATGATTGCTTGTGTTGCAATCGAAACGTCGTAATATGCTTTTATTTTAATTTATTATTTTATCTTTAGACGTGACTTAACCGAAAGAACCAAAGAATAAAACAAAAAACGTTGACAGAACAATGGTCTCGTTGGCAGCTAGGCTAAGGATATGAGGATGTTTGTGGTAGACGTAGCGCAGATGGAGGTGTGAGGTCCTGCAGAATGAAGCTACTGCTGCACATCTGTGAAAAATTGCTTCAGAGCTTTTCGGATTTCACCAGGATAAATAGAGACTCTGAATAAAGATTCTGCAATCTGTGGGAAGGGAACGAGAGCTCGGGATCGATGTTAACTCCAAGGGTTTCACGCTCCCCGCCAGAGTAATTTCAGAGCTGAGTAGGACCGCACGTAAGTGGAGTCTATTTGTGTAAAAAACGGCGCAAGTAAAAAACACACTCATGCCGTGCTGGAGCAGACTAATTTGGGTAATCCATTAAACATCCTTCCGAAGATCCGACCGTGCCGTCCAGTGCTCGCCGATTCGCACTGGCCCTCCGCTTGCCAAACGATACGTTATGAGATCGCACTCATTACACGCAAAGTGCTTGCCACAAATGAACTACAATGCCTTGCCGATCTCGTCAAGGAGCATAAACCATCGCACTAACTCCGGTCATCCTCGAAGTGGCTTTTGGCTGGCCATCGATGCGCTTCTGCGGCCATCTGGGACGCGCTCTTTCTTCCGATATTAGGAAGCCACTGGAGCTATGCACTTTTAAATCTAAATTGAAAACTCATTTCTTTAGAACTGCTTTTTGTGTTTAGTTTGTTGTCCTTCCCCGCACCGCCGATTAGCACGGTTGGCTACGTACGCTTCGCAAGAAGTTCAACACACTTAAATACACGTAAAAAAAACTTACGCATGTTTCGTCCCTCTGGTTGATTTTGCTTCTTGACTTGGGATTCCCTGCAGAATTTGGTTGAGCAAGCACCTACGTTTCCAGATTGTATTGGTAAGAGCACTCCTCTTTAAGATGTGGCCATGTCGAGCGCAAGAAAGCAATATCGTGTAAGAACGAATTTTGCGTTGTGATGGAGCATTGTGGGCCATGAAACGATGAACTGATATTTCAGTTAATCTCCCAACAGCAATATGTGCCAGCATTTGCATACTCCAGTGGAATTGAGAAATTTGGTCTTACCTTAAGTATGTATGCATGTTGAACGTCTTTCGCAACCTACATAGCCAACCGTGATATTCGGAGGTGCAGGGGAAGGACAACAGGTGTTCTTCCACGGTCGTTTTACCGACCGTGGAGAGATGATGGGCCCGAGTCGATCCGGGAACAGAGCTCGAGTTCACGACCTTCCACTTGTGAGCGGAGCCGTCTGTGCTAGGTGCAACAATCCTGAAATGAATTTTCTCTGTGCGATTAAAGCACGAAAGTCTATCCCGCGTCTGTCCATACTGCATTCTGGGCAACGATGAGACATTTGAATAGGGGCCCGCACCTTCTGCTGCTGCTGCTTCAGTGCCCGAGGGAGTGGGCTGATGATGCCCAGGAGTGAATTGTGCCAGTCATGTTTTTTTTTACTCTGAGATAACTCCTTTTGATTGCAAAGAGAGCAAACTTTGGAGGGGAAAAGAAACCTCTTATGTATGTTTTTAATTGACGCTAAGCATCAAGGTAGACCCGCGATGAGCGGTGGCACAGTGGTTTGCGCTCTGGGCCGTGAAGCCGTGCAACTCAGGTTGATTCCCGACCACGGCGGACAGCAGTGGGAAGCCTCACCCCTCCTGGGTGCCCCCCCCCCCCCCTCCGAGCCCTTCACAAAGCTGCACTGACCAGCACGGTGAGGTGAGGTCAAAAATCAGCCGGTGACCTCTATGGCATGGGGGGAGGCCTTCCTTCACCTAGCATTGGATTGAGAAAGGGCTGCACACTTTATATTATACAGTTTTAAGATAGACCACGTTTCTTATTGGTTGTGGCTCATGTTGTTACTTGTCTGTATGCTCTTATTTATGCAGTTTGTCATAGGCTATATTTATATTATGGAATCTTCATTTTATCTCCACATTATTCAGCATCACATTTGTTTACTGCTCTGTAATGAATCTAACGTTCTAGAGGTGTCTACGTAGATTGACCCTTTGTAAAACTAAATTATATCACAGTTGTATTGAGCGTCACATACTCCATATAGAATTCTGACATGTATACAACATGATCGTGGTCTGCCTCCCTAAATGTCAAATTCATTACAAAACACCACCACCTCATAAAAAAATTGTGAAAACAAATGTATGGGATGTGTGAAGATACAAGCCCTTGCAATGTGTGCTTTAATGTCTACAACCACAAGCCCCATTCGCTGAGCCTGATAAGGCTATTGTTGAGGTTTGTAAATGCAGTGGTACGTTATGAAAAAAAATGCTTTGAAAATTACATTCAAAGAAAAAATTACGTGAAAATAATTCCATATATTAATAGAATTCAATGATGTGTCTCCACATATCAATAAATAAAATAGTTCTTAGTTCGTTGGACTACTGGCTTCCCGACCAATGTCATCAAGCAGCGTTTGTTTAAGCGAGCAGCCTCTGGACCTGATTCGAACTTCTGGGTCTCATCAGCAGATGTGCATTTGAATCACCGGTGGTTTCTCTTCAACCTGCCCGTGTCTCCTCAGGCGATTGCTCCGGCATTCTGACGATCTGGTCTCGATTTTTCCGAGTGTCGTGTACTCGTTCGAAACGCACCTTCGTGACCACTGTCTCCAGCTTGCGCGGCGCGCGGTACCACGCACCGGCGTGACGCGTGGCACGTGGAGCGCCCCGCAAAAATGAGGGGGAAATGGAATAGGATTGCGGAAAACGGTTTTTACGAAACGTGCGATTTCCATGGCGCCGCGTCTTCTGTGTTTGCCGCCGTCACGCATACATAACGCTCCCGGTCATTCGGATGTCTGGCACGTGACCTTCTGGCCCGGCTAACCTGAAGCTGTGTCTGTGTTACTCGCTGTGCCTCCAGTCACCCTGTCTGTGATGGATTCTATAACACGGATTTGCCAGGGTAAGCTTCTTCCCCCGTGTTACCGCGGTGCCCTGCCTGTCAGCCCCCAGCTTACCTCTCATTCCCGTTGAGGGGCGGGGGGCATCTGCTTAAATGCACGGAACAGTTTGGTTGCACGCGGAAATGTTGTTAATGGGACATTTTTTTTATTTTTTTGTTTATTGGATATGATTTTTAGGTGTGCTCTGGGGCCCACTTTAGGCGCTAATCACTGATTTATACTCCACGACCTTCGCCCTTCCTTAAAATATTATTTTTATTTCATTTCACAGCTGCTGTTTTATTTGACATACAGCCCCGGTAGATCCTATTCCCCCGAATATTTGATTGAAGGTTTTAATAGATACTCTATTGTTAAATGTCTCCTATGAGTATTAGCACATAGATAACTTAAAAAAAAACTACTTTCTGAAAATTTAATTTTGAAACGGAATAGTTGTGTATTTATTTACCTTAACATCCTGACATCTTAAAAGACAACAGATGTATTACATTCCTTTGTAATTTAATTTTATTTGATCCATTATTGCAATCAACAACAACAACAAAACCTTCGCCACATAACTCATGAACAACGTTGTTCAAATAAATCATATCCTCGGCAAACATTTTGTCCCATGATCCTTTTGCAGAGCATACATTTATAGCCCCGTCCCTCTGCTCTGAAGAAAGGCTGTCACCAAACGTATGAGCCTGCCGCACATATTACATTTGTTAAAAAGTTCCCACTACCAGTAGAGTCCTCTATTTGTGTAATATGTTTTCAAAGTCTTGATGCCAAAGTGTGTCCCAATCATTCATTTATTATTTCAGGTGCAGCATTTTTGCTTTTGTAGCAATCCATGCCTTTCAAAGTACTCGTTCGGAGACGCTTGGCCGTGGCTTGTCAAAGGAGCCTTACCAATCCTGCGATCCACAAATAACGGACGCATTCAACTCGAGAGAAACTCCGTTCACTTCCCACGGCCGTCATTTGTCAGGATGCCCTTTGGAGGGTGGCATGTCTATATAATGATAATGTCAACCTGGTAAAAAAAAACACTGCGAGATCAGGCAACGGGCAGACGTGCATTACACAAATGTTCGTCTCAGCAGTTTCTAGCAGTGAGTGCATCCGATTGCTACCTCGTGATTGTTGATTTGCTTTCCCTGCGCATTCGCAGGAGTGCAGGTTTATAAAACTTGAGGCGTGAAGACGCGAGGACAATAATTACAGTGGGCACGTGTTTACAAGTTTACAAGCACGACGGCCCTTTGGTCTGACTTGTGTTTGTTTCTCACTTGCGTGAAACTTCGCCTTTGCTCGGTGATTTGTCCTTGAATGCCAATCCAAGATCAATCGCTACATAGACAAAGTCATTGTTTAATTCCGTACAACCTTCAATTTAAAATGCTCGCCCACGGTTCGTGAAGGACTTAAATTGACGGGCCGCTGCTATTTTTTTTGCTTGAAATTAACGTTTATGATAAAGACCTTTTTTTACTTCATCGCACAAATTCCCGTGGAACATTCCATTTAACGGCTCGCGTATTTTGTAGTGCTCAGCCAACGGGGAAAAAACATGTAATAAATTATGTCAGAGTGAAGACTGTATTAAGCTAGACTGCGCGGTCGTGAGTGTGTAACTGATGTTTGGCTGTGTGCATGTCTATAATGTGTATTCTCTTCCCATCCGTTTTTGTTCCGCTTGTTCGAGCAGCTATCAGGAAAGCAAAGAGTTTGTCAAGTAAGGGAGTCTGTCGTCGTCGTCGTGGTTGTTGTGGGTGGTCAGTGTGCTTGTTGCATGCAGTGCCCAGTCCCCTCCCCACGCTTCGTGTCCACTGTGACTTGCTGCCACTCCGCTCTCCTCGGTGTGACGTTATTCCCCAAGAGTGGTTTTTAGCCAGATATACGTTACGCATTCACGTTGAAGTGCGAATGGGCCGTCCTCAATCTCTGCAGAGGCCATTACCGAATCGGCTGTGACCAAACGCGACAATCTTGTATTCAATTGACGGATGGAAATCCTCAAGCCCCCTTCTCCTCCTCCTTCTTTATTTTCTTCTTCTTGCCGTGAGGTGACATGACGAATATGTTCTGGCTAAAAACGGTGCGAGTCTGCGTTGTCCCGGGTTGCCCGCCACTACGGGTGGCGCAGGACACGGGGAGGGAGGGAGGGAGGGAGGGGGGGAAATGTCAAAAGCGAAAGCCCCATCCCTACGCACAGCTTTTGCGCTCACGTCCCCATTTGTCCATAGCCGCTGGCGATCCCTCTGTGATAGGATGGAGGGACCCCTGAGCTCGGGTTCTGAGCCACGAGTGACAGTCACTTATCAACCAGTGTGAGACATGAATACAGCATCTGACGCCCAAATTATTACTGCATCTGATCGACTGACACCGTAGCCTTGGGGAAAAAAAGCCGCATGAGCAACGGTTGAGGAAGAGCCACACGCTCCGTGTTCAACCGGCGTCCGCCGTGCGTGTGTCCTCCCACTGCCGTCGTGTCGTCTCGCCGCCTCGGGTAAGTATGCCAACGTCGTTGTGCCACCAGTAATGCCCAAGAAATGCATTTGTCGGTGAGCGGCCTCCGTGGCATCATATTGATGGAACTCCGTCAACTTTGCCCGGTCGTGCCTTGGGGGTAGCTTTGAGCCAGATGTGTTACAAACATTGCATCTCACTTGTGCACGTGTTGTGTATCAAACTCGGTCGGATCATTATTTAAAGCTGTTGTTGTTGTTTCGTTTTAATGTTGATGTGCTCATCAAACAAAAACATGCTTGCAATTATTTAGTCATCCTCACCACCACCTTTGTCTGTCCGCACAACACGCAGATGTTTGAATCTTCATTCTTGACTTTGTGAGAGTCTTACTTTGTTTTAACACTCACTGCACGCTGTTGCTGCCTGTGACTAAAGCACCAAGACTGTGGCCAATCTCAGAAGCTAAGCAGGTTTGAGCCTGGAAAGTGCTTGGATGGGCAACTGTTATCGCATAAAGCAGGAGTCGCAGGCCTTCTGTGCAACAAGCTGAGGGGCAGAGGGCATCGCAGCAGAACGGATTGCTGTGTTACATTTCTATATATCTACGACTGCACTCTCTGCCATCACTAATCCCACAACTGACCGGCCTCATGAAGTATGTTCAGATAACCACCACGACTTACAGGGGGCGTGGGGAGGCACTCATCCAGCAGTGGATTGCCGAAAGGGCTGTACATGTGCACAGAGTTGCTACTAAATGGCAGACGGTGTAGGGGGGTGATCTCACCCTGGTCAATGTGACTGGTCACGCTACATTTTGATAGACGAGTTCGTGATTTTGCTGCCGTGCCGTGGCGGTACACCACTCCCCCTCGCCGCACCTGCCCACCTCACTTGGTGGATCGGCAGGGTGAAGTGTGGGTACTCCCACCTAGTCCAAGTCAGACCAGTGTGGAAGAGTAGTCCATATACAGTTCCCTCTCGAGGTGCTCTCCGAAGCTCCTTCTGCCGGCAGTGGCGTGAGCAAGCAGTCGCAGGACTGCGCCTTTATCTTTACCGATTGGAATTGATGTTAAAACGAACGTTTTCCTCCAGCTTTGGATCGTCACAATTTGATTGACCGATCGTATGGTTAACATGGCTAAGTTGTGTATCTTTTCCAAACGCCGTCGACCGACCGTATAGATTATATGAATCGTGGGGGTTTGCTTTTTCTTATAGACATACAGTGTGAGTTTCTTGGCATTCGGTGCGATGATTTTATTTTCAGTGCAAAGGGAGAAAACATTTTGGCTTCCACGCTTTTCTTAGAAAGACGCTTCCACCCCAACGCGTGTGCGCCGTGCCACAAGCCGGACGTTCCAAGTTCCGTTGTTGAACCTCGTGACGTGATGCGCCAACTCGGCACCAATTTGCAGCCCCCCTCCCCTAACGAGCATCCAGAAAGGCACTTTTTTTCCAAGAAGAGAATCGATTAATAATGTGCGTGCGTCACAGAGAGAGAGAGAGGTGTGAAGTGCCCACAGTGGGCATTCAACAACAGCCATTACCAGGCACAGCTGGCGGCTGGCTGTGAACACAGCTGATGGAATTAACACATCGGGGGGAAAATAAAACTGCGAAGGAAACATTTATGCAATTGATTATTGAACAAAGAAAGTATAGTGATACGCGGGGTCAGTCAACGACTGGTTCGCCAACACTGGCGGACAAGCGGAGGTTCATCGCTGCCGCAACGATTCGAACTCCTCCGTTGTTGGCGATTTGCGCGTCTGCGGCCGACGGTCGAACGCATCTCACTTCGGTTCGAGCGGCGTCGTTTTTCGCTTCGTGAGGACGTATCCTGCGCGCCGACATATTGGAAAGGATTTTAAGAGTTTGTTTTTATTGAATTGCTATTTTTTTTGCCGGGCAAAAGAGAAAGCGGGAGAAGAAAGGCTTCTCGGGCCCCGGCTCCTGTCGTACACGCGGAGCGAGGCATGCGAGCGCGCCAGCTTGCAGTTCACGTTACAGTTAGCGCCGGCGGAATTTACTGCCATCAATTTTGGTTCGGCATGCAAATTGCCTCCTAATGAGACCCGCGGTGCAAGGAGGGCACTGCGGGGAATTCCGCCGCAGCAGCAGCAGTCGCATTACTCGTCCTCGCGAAGAGACTCGAGCTTTGCAGTGCCCGTCAGCTCGCGGGCAGTTGTCACAAATCTCAGCGACTGTGACCACAGCGCTTCAATAATTAACTACAGCGCCCACCGTGAAATGTGTATTCTGTTGAGGTCTTTTTTTCCCTTTGTGAAATTAAATTCCCCCCCCTGGCTGGGCAGCACAGTAGCTCACAGTGCCAGTCTGTGTTCAAAGCTGCATGCCACCCTAGGTCGACTTTGTGAGCTACGAGTTCCAGTTGTTTGAAGGTAAAAGCCCCGCGCAATTTGCCTGCTCATGCCAATGGTGGCCAAAGGGCCCTCAGTTGAGGGAGATCAAGAATATCCTCCCAACAGCAACAGGAATGTCCTCCCAACAACAACAACACGAAGAAGAATGTCCTCCCTACAACAACAACAACAACAATGTCCTCTCAACAACAACAAGAATGTCTTCACAACAACAACAAGAAGCGTGTCCTTCCAACAACAACAACAAGACTGTCCTCCCAACAACAACAACAACAATAATTTATTCACAATAACAAAAAGAATAATGTCCCAACAACAACAAGAATGTCCTCCTACAACAACAACAACAACAATGTCTTCACAACAACAAGAAGAAGCATGTCTTTCCAACAACAACAACAAAAATGTCCTCCCAACAACAACAACAACAACAATGTCTTCACAATAACAACAAGAAGAATGTCCTCCCAATAACAACAACAAGAATGTCTTCACAACAACAACAAGAAGCATGTCTTTCCAACAATAACAACAACAAGAATGTCCTCCCAACAACAACAACAAGAATGTCCTCCCAACAACAACAACAAGAATGTCTTCACAACAACAACAAGAAGAATGTCCTCCCAACAACAACAACAAGAATGTCCTCCCAACAACAACAAGAATGTCTTCACAACAACAACAAGAATGTCCTCCCAACAACAACAACAAGAATGTCTTCACAACAACAACAACAAGAATGTCTTCACAACAACAACAACAAGAATGTCCTCCCAACAACAACAACAAGAATGTCTTCACAACAACAACAAGAAGAATGTCCTCCCAATAACAACAACAAGAATGTCTTCACAATCACAACAAGAAGAATGTCCTCCCAACAACAACAACAAGAATGTCTTCACAATCACAACAACAAGAATGTCCTCCCAACAACAACAACAAGAATGTCTTCACAATCACAACAACAAGAATGTCCTCCCAATAACAACAACAAGAATGTCTTCACAACAACAACAAGAAGCATGTCTTTCCAACAACAACAACAAGAATGTCCTCCCAATAACAACAACAAGAATGTCTTCACAACAACAACAAGAAGCATGTCTTTCCAACAACAACAACAACAAGAATGTCCTCCCAACAACAACAACAAGAATGTCTTCACAATCACAACAAGAAGAATGTCCTCCCAACAACAACAACAAGAATGTCCTCCCAACAACAACAAGAATAATGTCATAACAGCAAAACAATAATATCCTCCCAACAACAACAGCAGGTTAGTTTCCTTTCTCTTCCACGCTGGTCTGACATCTTAGAGGTGGGATGTACCCACAATTCAGTACCAATGTGATTTAAGAAACTTGCCCGATATGTTTACTACTGCTCCAGTAAGTCGAACCGGCAAACTCCGCATTGCTGGTCCAACACAATCATGTTTTAGGCAAATATAACACCTCACACCGCTTGGGAGTGTCCGTGAAGCCGTAACTATATTTCCGGTTGCGCATGAATCAATCACGGTGAACATTTAAAGCCGCACACATATTACTTTCTCCACACCGAAACATCACTTTTCCAAGTGAAGACAATTTAATCTTCCTGTGGACATCGCCTTGCCTACAAAACACCGACTGCTGAGATGGAATCGATTCACTGCCTACTTCGTTTAGCACGGTTGACCACGTACAGTGCGAAAGAAGTTCAACGTACATGCGTACATTAAGGTCGAAGGCTGTCTTTGTTGTTGCTGCTCATCAAACAGGATAATTTCACTCGCGTAATCGTACACCTTTGTATATAAGTTTATAAACGATAAAAAGAGTCGTTGGGCCAAAATTAAATCCTTGGTGAACACTTTGGGTTAATTAATAATACTCCAGAGTCTATAAACTCCTTAAGTTCGTCGAGGGTGTGCACACGACACAATTATCAAGGCACACGTTCCTGTGCTCGTCCGCCTCGTTTGCTTTACTGACAACGCCGCAACACCTCTGCCAAATAACACCGTGTCCCATGTCACCGGGGACGCTTTTAGCACAATGTCTCTTCTTCATAGCGCATCGTTCTCTGCACTGGATTTTCACAGGTTCAGTTGCACGTAAAAACTACCGGAAGACGAGCAAAATGACACAATAAAAAATGTGTTAATTAAATAGCACAGTGTTAAATAGGACTTTCATCACTGTCTATGATTCATCATTGTTGATGAGGATATGCATTTACATTTATCTTGTTCCATTGAATCTGCGTTGATGTGACATTTTTGCTGGTGTAATCCAATTGGTTTTTTTAATGCACAGTAAATTTCTTTAAATACGAGTGAAAGGAAAATGTAAAAAACACATTTATACGAAGTCCTTCGTGAGCCTTTTCAGTCAAAACTTTCTCAGTCGCTGCTCCCACGGCTAAGGAGGTTTTCCTTCCTGTTCAGTCGAAGCCCAAGGCCTCCTCCAAGTTTTGTGCCCATGTCTGCCTCACTGTAAAGCATACACCGTAAACATTAGCAGCGTTGTGGAGCTTATAAGGAACAAAATAGATAAGCAACTAAATATTTAACCTTCATTTACACAATCCATGGCCCCACTGCCTTCTATCAAGTGCCTTCATCCACATTCCACCACAACGCCATCGCTCGTTCCCTCTCAAGGCCCTACAATTTCCACCCTTCCACCCATTGTTTAATTAAACACGCACAAAATATCATACGTATCTTCAAACGCTCCAGCCGGGCATGTCCATGTGTATAGCTCTCTGCGCTTTGTAAAACCAAGGTTGCAATCGCATTCTTGTTTTTTGTTATTCATTTGGCTCCGATATATCTTGTCTCGTTGCCTGAAGGCGACCTGTTGAGTCTATTGTCCCGCGCACTCGTTCGGATATTCATGACTCTCACCGGGCCCCTTACAAACATTTACATGCCGAGTAAGCAGCCACACGTTGTGCACTTAATGCCATCACCATAAAGAGGGCCTCAAAGCAAGCAGCAGGCTGCTTAATGCTACTGCCAATACACGGCCGTGCATTGTTCACGTCAAACGGCAGCGTAAGGATGGGACAGCATGCGTGCAGATGCATTGGCGCAGATGGATAATGTAGCATTTCACATTCCCTTTGCAGATTGCAGGGTTCAGTGCCTAGTTGTCCAAATAGGGCAGACATGTGCCCATCTATAATTTCAAGCGCATACCGTATTACTTGGGTAAGACACTTTTCAAAGTAAGACGCACTCCAAACTTGTTCCCGGTGTCAATAAAGCTAAACAAATTTGGTCACACAGACACATACCAATTGGATTATAAGACGCAGCCCCAACTTTAGATGTGTAGTGTCAACGATTCAGAGTTTCTAGGAGGCACTTTCTTTATTAGCGACTTCCACGGTCTCGTCCGCACACTCTCCCCAGTAGCTCAGCTCAGCCTGCACACAACACCGGCCGTTTAGCACTGACGGCGCTGACTGAGATAGCCAACTACCATCCTTCATAGCGCAGCGTCTAGCGGAGACGTTGAGCGGCGACGAGATGCCAGCGACGACGAGACGAGTTCACTCCCAGCACCGGCAGCCGTGAGCCCCCCGCTCTCGGCTCCTTTTATGCTCCCGGCGCGGCCTGGCTCCGCCCTGACCGCGCCTCCCTTCTCGAACCCTCCAGCAGGTTCCAGGTGCCTCCAGACGGAGTCCTCCGTGACCCTTGCCCCAGTTGCTCTCTCTGCCCACACGCCGTGCTCACGCCCTCACCGGCGTGTGTGCTGTCTGTCCACCACAGCTGCCGCTGCTGTCCACCAGCCGGCACTATTACACTACACATGTAAAACACAGGGGGGAAATGCGTCTTGTAATCTATAGATTACTGTGTAAGCAGCACTCATTTCTGTTTCTCCACATATAAATGAGTTTGTATAGAGTTTGAAGATGGTTTTGTGTTTCGGTATTGTTTGAACATAGAGCATGGACAGAAAGTTAGAATCGTAGAGGCCGTGGCAGCAATAGACGACGTTCGTGTTGCCCAACTGAAACAAAAGAACCCACTGTGGTTGTGTTCACCAGCGAAGCCGCCCATCTGTTCAGCAGCAATGCATGCATTTAAACGAGATCCGCAGTCAGTGCACGCAGAGTGCGCCCCGTCTACACACGCAGTGGAGCTCGCGTCGTCCGCGATTAGCAGCACTGATGTGAGCATCTTGTCGTGCTTGTGGAAAGTTCCCCACAGACCCAGAATCACATGTTGACAAAATGCATTGGTGACTGCAATTTGCTCCACTGTAGGGTAAGCACGGCGTGCTGACACGGCTCTAACGGTCAGTGCACGCGACTTGCGGCCCGCGGGGCGCCGATTCAATCTCCCGGCGTGGCAGTGGAGACAGCAGGGCAATGTTCTGGACCCCCCCCACACACACTCGCCTCTGTCCACCCAGCAGTATGGACGAGTGTAGCCACAGTTCATACGTCGGCAGGTCACTTGCGGTGAGGCCGAATGTGGGTACTCACCTCTGAAGAGGTGCACGTGGAAGAGTCGAGCGACATGACCCCCTGAGAGAGGCTGACTCTAGCGCTCCCTCGTGGAGTCTAGAGGGGCTCTCTAGAGGGGCTCTCTAGAGGGGCTGTCTAGAGGGGCTGTCTAGAGGGGCTCTAGAGGGGGGCTCTCTCGAGGGGCTCTTTGGAGCTCCGTCTAGCGGAGGCCTCAGTCCGCCAGCAGATGTGAGAACAAGTATTTGCAAGGCTGCACCTGTACCTTTTGTCGTTTACAATATACACGACACGATTTATATTCATGACGCACCCTTAATGCAACCACATCTCAAGACGGTACACATATAGAGTGAACGTGGACTATTTGACAATTTTAAGATTTTCTTTTTCAGTCAGCAAAGGGCGATGATGATGGATAACTATTCTACAAGACTGGAGAGGGATATTGAGATGACACTTTTTGTGGACGTGCAAATGAAGACAGTTCACAAAGAGAGACGAGACGGTCAAAGGCAGAGTAGAAGCCCAAATCACGACACTTCACAGAGGGGAAACAGTCAACCGTGGGCAGAGTGGAGGCAGCTGTCACATCTCCACTGCCGGTGGTGATGGAGACATTGACACGATTTCACCAACAGAGAAATGAGACGGGATGGACCGTTCGCGGATGCCGTGAATCGATCTCCGCGTGTAGATGTGACACAGGCCTCCCAAGACATCGCGAGGAATATCTTAACGTTGGCCAGCTGCTTTTTGATGTGCGTCTGCAATTTTTTTTCCGTGTCCGTGGCTTTCTCGTAGTTCCCCAATGTTAAATACGTTCGTCATACGTTTATATCTGCACATCCCTCTTTGTTTGCTGTTGGCAATACTGTAGCCGCTTATTGCTTGCGTGCAGTGCCTCGGTAGACATTTCTAAAGGCATTGTTGCAAAGCCGTGTACTCGCGTAAGGTAGTTGCAGTGATTGTGTTTGACGTAGGGTGTCTTCTTTATTGCTTTATAACGCTTTCCAACTGAGGTCGAAAGCATTCATGCATTAGCTCCATCCGCCCGCCTGTTTGTCCGCCTGCCTGTCTGTCCGTAACTTGGTGGCACGATAACTCTTGCAAGGAGGATCCAATGTGATTCGAAACTTTATATAAAAAGTTATGTTGCTATTCGGGGCTCTCCGTAGAGAAAACCGGCCGCACTGATCAAAGGGTTGACCGTGCGCACTCCCCAGCAGAGCCGCTATCCAAGCCATCGCGGCCTACGGATATCCTCCATCCCACTTGCCCGGCGCGAGAGTGATTGCTGTTATCGCTGACGAAATGCAGAGGAGGCCACACGCACGCTGGACAGCGTTACGGAATCCATGCATATGCATGATATGTCTTCGTCGTTTTATATTAAAGTTAAAATGTAACGCGATCTGTGTGTGTGTGTGTGGTGCCGGAGATGTTGGACAGTAGTGTGTGTTACCCGACCATAGCAGTTAGGGTTGCCATCTGTCCTGGTTTTCCCAGTATCGTCCACTTTTTAAGACAGCTGTCCTGGGACATAAAACAAACCAAAAAATCCTTTCTGAACGTGAGTTGCTCGAAATAATAATAATACGCCACTCAAGATGATGCATTTACGTGTGGTCCCCCCCCCCGCCCCCCACTTTGAGTATCGCGAGGTATTCTTCTTGGCATTTGCAACTCAGAGGTGGCAACCCTTGCGGCCGTGCCGAGCATCTAGTCAGAGCTCGCCCGCGGTGTCGTTTGTTGTCGGGCAGGTCGTGGGTGCTCGGGGCCATCGCCCTCCTCTGCCTGCTGGGCCTCACCTGGGTGTTCGGTTTGCTCTTCATCGACAAGGCCACGCTCGTCATGGCCTACCTCTTCACCATCTTCAACTCCTTCCAGGGCATGTTCATCTTCATCTTCCACTGCATCCTGCAGAAGAAGGTAACGGTAACAGCGACAACGACGACAATGGTTATAAACTAAAACTAAACTGTCGTAGAGGGCGTTCGTCCAGTGGCCACGGACGGCTGTTTCTGGCTGTGCCTCGCCCAACGCGTGAATGCGGAGAATGGGATTTGACTTTTTTCGCGTAGTTCCTGTTATCCGTGGAAAAAAAAAAGACCTGGATAACAGCAATTTTTGTAGATGGATTTGGGGCTGCGTATAAGAGAAACTTCGCAGTCTTTTTTTTCTTACTGATGGGTGAGACAATCAATGTAAGATCAAACTAATAATTTGGTGCTGCTGCTGCTGCTTTGGCAGCGGTGCAAAAGTGCAACAATGACAACGATCAATTCAACAATAACAACGATCAATTAAACTGGCTCGTTGTCAACAATGCTGCGGCCTCATCAGGAACAAATATATAATCGGTCGACGTTTTGGGCAATGTCCCTTCTTAATCGCACGTGAAGCAGGTGCATTGCCTGAAACGTCGCAGGACAGTATTGGGTTTAAAGATAAGATCAGGTGCATGGGATGAGAGTTTTACATGAAAGGATAATTAGCCATGGGACCCATAAAGGATGATGACTGAATGAGTGCACCATTTGGCATTTAAAAATCCGGGGGTCAGTTACCCTCCTCCACTTCGATGTCCCTTGCCTTGAATGGCTTCAGTGTCGGGTGCTGCGGTGGCGGCGAGGTGTCGACAACCTCTCCTGGTATGCAGGGGGTTGTGGTTTAGAACCCGACCCTGTTCTCCCCGTGGTCACGTGGGTTTTTTTTCCAGGTCCTCCGGTTTTTCCCTCCACATTTAGAATCAACATCACGCGTTTATACGTTTCCACGTGAAACGCTACTTCGTTTATCATTTGTGGCCACCTAGCTTCTGAAAAAGAGCTATATAGCTTATTGGGTCTCATCTTCTAAAATAAAACATAGTTTAGTTCTAGTCCCCACATGTGCAGGAAGCACTGAGGTGCTAAAAAAGAGAAAACTTTTATAAATGATCAATTGCGTGGTACGATGTGTCCGTGCACATGTATGACGAGAGTGAAGTGGCTGTTCATAGCGGTCTAATTCCGTTGGTACATTACGTACGTATTTCTTCGCGTACTTTCAGATTACAAACAAACTATTCGCATGGATTGTTTTTTGGCAGCGTTGCGGCAAAGACGGATAATTAAAAAAGAAACCGCTCACTACATTGGCCATGAACACTGGCTTAGGGCAGACCAGTATCTATTAAATAATTCTAACACTTTACGTAAATGGTGAGAAACTCATCAGACGATAACGTATGTCGGAGGCTAACATTTTTGGGTAATGTGGCCCTTCAGAGCAGAGAGAGCCCCGGAGTGCAGAGCTGTGGTGAATGCAGCCAGTTTATTTGATTCGTGCGGAGCGTACAGAAACACTGCTGTTTCCCTGAACAATGATAACTTTGCATGACTGGGTTAAGACCGCCGTTCCCACAATGAAAGTGAAATATTGCTCGGCGCTCAAGAGAATATGGGCAGAAGTGACTTTATTTGACGACGTGACCTATGGTTTTCCCAGACTCTCCGCTCTGTGCCACTGTGTGGAAGCCGGGGAGGGCTGTGCCTCATTAAACACAGATTTCACAAGCCTACATTTGTCACGGAAGGAGGCTGACATTATCTGTAAAAGATTGTGCTTTCATTTCTCATTTACACACAGACCACAAACATACTGGCCATATAAAGAGCACGAGTATTAGATTGTAACCCGCTACAATTCTGCATGAAGAATATACACCGTGCGTATTTGCTCTATTGCACACATAATGATTTGTTGAGTTTAAATCCATTGGGACGTTCACGATCGACCGATCGAATTGTGCGTGTGAGAATTGATTGTTCCAATTCTATGCTGTCGTATATGTAAATGTGCGGGGAGCGGTGGCGCAGCGGTTTATTGCCCCTTGCTGTGAACCCGGAAAGCTTGGAACGAGTGACGGCCAGGGCTAACGTCGGTGGCGAGCGAGAGCTGAACTGGTCACTTCGCAAACCCACACTGACCAGTGTGGGGAAGTGGTTTGACAAAAGAGCTGATCATCATTATTATTATTACTTCAATGTTATTAGAAAATGGGATGCAGTTGTTACATTTGAGAAAATGGAGTAAATTCAGTGTAATGAATGAGACAGGACAGACAAGAAGCAATGGAAAGATATATGATGAAAGTGAGATTACAATATACCACAAAAAGAGCTCCATAGCTCATCCGATTCCTCCAGTTTAAATAAAAATCAGATTCTGACGTATATAATATACATATTCATATTTGAGCAGGTAAGGCCCACTGAGCTATACAGCTCTTTTTCAGAAATGGCCTGGCAACAAACCAAAGCTCAATGGAAGTGCCTTATCATGTGGAAATGTATAGCAGCCGAATCCTCTAAAGGCCTGTGATGTTGATTATAAATGTAGAGGAGGAAGAAGAAAAAAAGCGGACCCGGAGAAAAATCCATGTGATGACGGGGAGAGAGACACGCACACTCCAAATATACAGCAGGCGTCAGGGTTAGGATCGAACCCACCACCTGCATACCAGGCGACCACGGCGCCCAATTTAATACGACAGATGGTGACACACGAGGAGGCCTTTGTGCAGCAGTGGAATGATCATGGCCGATGAGATGATGAAACGCATTATATTTTTTCTCGGTCACATCAATACAGTACGTTCATTTGTGTTCAACGTGTTTGGCAGGAGTGGAGTTAACATATTATGATGTAAACCTAATTATCCTTTGATCAAAATTGGCAGCAGAAAAGAGAAAATAATTCGGAGTGCAGAGAACTTGCTCAATGTGTGGGTTTGTGTCTGTGTGTCTGTGTGTCTGTGTGTCTGTGTGTCTGTCTTCCTCCGACAAGCGCCCTCTCGTGCTTCAGCCACGGGGAGCGGTCGTGTCGTGGTTAGCGCACTGCTCTACCAACCCGGCCACCTGGGTTTGATTCCCATTCACGGTCAACACCAGTGACGATTCTCTGAAACGGTCCTGGGCCTGACCTAGGTCGACTCAGCCTCAAATAAGTACTTGGTGCCTGTGTGTAAACATCACCACGAGGGAGACAAAGGCGGCCTGGCGTGGTGCTGGCCACCCACCCCCTTAGTGCGCCACAGTGCCGGGCTTCACAGGTGCTGCTCACTGACAGCAACAGTCTGGTCAGGCTATGAACATCACCCTCGTCGCTTTACTGTATGGTGGTGGTCTGTCGTGTGGATCAACTGGCAACTGCCATAGAAATGCGCAATTTCCATCGCTCTCTCAGAGCCACCAACAACAACTTGCACCCGTCCCTCCCCCACGCTTCATTTAATCGCAGGGTCGCTCTGACTGTAGCACCTGAACGTAAAGAGGTGCGAAGCTCTCATTAACAAATTGCAACGTGTTCAATAATTCCATGGCACCAGCCTCAGAGTTGGCAAGCCGTGGGCTAGGAACAGTCTGCCATACCTGGGGTTGCCACCTGTCCTGGGTTTCCCAGGACCGTCCTCCCGTTGAGGAGGCAGTCGTCCTGGAATTATGCGCGAGACTTCCTGAGACATCGCAACTTCTGTCGTTGGTCAGTTGCGCGATGGTGATTATAATAACAACGCAGCACTCAAGAGAGTGCGCTCGCATGTAGCTCTCCCCAGCTCCAGCGTTGCGAACAGAGATTATTCTCTCCATCATGGGTTCCGTTTTTTTTTTAACACACCTCAAAGGTGGCAACCCTAGCCATGCTGCCTTGGCTCATTACACCGGTGGGGCCCTGTTCTCACGGATGGTGCACACCGAGGGTCACCAACTGCTGGCCCCCAGAGCTGGTAATCTGGCTGGCATTGTAACAAGCTCGGCTTGCTGTGGATTGGCCCTATGAGTTGTAAGTACATTTCACCAAGCCCATGTGGCCACCTAACATAGGGCTAGGGATAGCGGGGGTGGGCGTATTATTATTTTATCACGGTGCAGTCTACACCCTTCATGGCCGGCTGGCGCAGCGGTATATTTCGTGACTCGCGGTTCGAAGGTTGTGGGTTACGTCATCATCATCATTAGCCGTGATCACTCCGACTGCTGCATGAACGCCTCCCCACTCCGCTGCGATGTAACAGCCCGGCCAGGATAGCTCCTCCATGTATTTCTCGGGTTGTGCCGCCGGGAGCGTGCGGACCGAAACGTCGGACACCCTGCTGAACAACGCGCGGGACGACCCGAAAATGCACCGCGACTACGAAGACGTAGGCAGCAGGATCAACCCGTCTCCTGCATGCACACGAGCTGATTTCAGCACTCCATCTCCACGGTGGACGTGTCATGGCAACGTCCCCTCGTCACTCCGGAGCTGATTAAATGATCACCGCTCTGTGAAAAGTCGACAGGAGTTGTCCTCTTCCTGTACTCGTCCTGCCAAAGGAATGTGGAATGTCCACCACAGACTCAGAGCTGTAAATTCAAGATGAACATCTTCTTTCGCTTTTCACAGTAGAATATATTTTACTGGTTGTCAGTTATCAGCACGGCTGTCACATATGCTCAGGGTGATTCTCGAGTCTTGCCAATGCACGCTAACCGCTCTGTACAAGCACGTGAATACGCACACGCGGAGAGCGCATCCACGCCGGCCGAGTATGAATCTAGGCCGGCGTCTTCGTAGATTGACTCCGCTGAGACTTGCAGCGCGCCTGGCGTAGGGCACCAGCACTAGAAGGTGAGGACAAGGATCGGTCTCGGCCCATTGGACTTTGGTTCCGCCAACCCTGGAGGTAGTTTCACCCTGCCGACGTTTCATTGGCTCTCGCTTGACGGCTTTATGTGCCAACAGCCTACGGAGGCTGTGAGAATCATGGGAGTACAAAATCCTCACATTAATTAGGTATTATGAGAATGAAAAGGAGATTGTAATTTCGATTTGATCAGAATGCCTTTTAAAATTCTCGTAGGTGACAAAAATTTCACTTGGGTATATTTGGCTTGTCTCTCTTAATTTTTTTCTGCATGGGCTCTCACCAACAATTAAAATGTGCATTTACGGAGGCCTCGCTTGATCGTAACCACAAGGGCGGCCGTCATAAACGCAGACATGTGTTTTGCCTGCTGCCGTGCCGAAGGTTTGAAGGACAAGATCCCTGTTTCCCGTAATTATATAACGTGTCATTCCGTGCCAGGGCTGCCATTGCACTGCCAATTGAGGATGCACAGCTCCCCAACACAAAGGAAGTCCATCACTTACTCCCCATCTGTGGATGTGATGTTCCGTCTCTGTCTTAAGTGTTGGGAATATGTTATTAACGGAACCATTGTAATTTCCTCCGAGATGGAGTAACCTTCAGGCTTGCGGGAATGGCCATTTTTGGAGCAACGGTTCTCATAAAAGTCACGACTTGAAGATAATTAGAGCCATCACAGAATAGTAACTGCACCCAGTTGTGCCTCTCTGAATGACTGCGCTGTTATGGCTGTGATAGCCGCCAACAGAGAAAGGAAAAAATACACCGCGCGACCTCAGAAAACTGGCCGCTGGTTTTGGACAAACGTACGATTATTGAGACGTTTTTTAAAAAGGTTTTCATATCCCCCACGTTGCATTGTAGCCGGTGGCCGTACCGTCGTTTTTCATCTAATGTAAATGGTGAGATTTTTGTTTTTCGCATCGCACCATTTGTACTCCAATGTCAAAGCTAATTTTTTTAAACTGATGAGCAAAGTTTAAAAAGGATGTCCATGCATCACACGGAAGTGAGTGTTTACCCTACGCAAGGAGAAGAGAGAAAAAAGAAAGCCAATCCCCCAGGAGTACACAGCCGTTGTTTCCCCAATGCTGTGCTGTGTATAGAGAGAGCCAGATTAATTAAGAGTACGGCCCGGGGCACAGCTGGATCGGGAGGCCTCTTGGGAAGCCGGATGCGCGACCGTGACCGAGATTCTGACACGAGCACGAGCCCTGGGGGCGGCTGGCACTCAGCTGCGATCTGCTTGTTTAATATCACAGCACCGGGCGCAAGCCCACGCTGTTCGCATGGGGCACCCAGCCTTAACTCTTGCGGGGGCCGTGCCCACGGACTGAGCAGTTCGTTCTTTTGAGCGCGTCGCTGCCCAAAAGGCCAAAGCCAGAGCCTTTCAAATGCCACCGTAATTATCGAAGCCGCTCTTCCCGATGGTTTGTGTTTGGGCGCGCTCCCGTTTAATCTGCTTCGGTGTTCTTTTCGGGTAGATATGACCTCGCGTATATGGAGTTTGGCAGTCGTCTGTAACGTGATCCGATTTGGCCCGGGTTTAAAGTGACCCAAGTAACCAGCTGAGCGTGAAACGCGCGAAGCGAGCGCTTCGCTTAAAAGAATTACGGATCATGAACATCGCGTGAAATTAAAACAATTGTGTTGGCCCGACGTGTTAACTCGTAAACCTGTCCCTGCGATCCATAACCGCACCTCGCTCACTGCCCTAGGCTCTTGCGCACCTACTGCCTTGCGAATGGCAGGGCTGACTAATAGGACCTCCTACTGCGTAGGTTTCCACACCTGCGCTCTTCGCCTTTGTTTTTTTCGGATTGTGCCGTGCATGCGCATTTTTTTTCGGCAATGTTTCGCCGCACGCGCCGGGAGCGTCTCCCGGGAAACTGAGAGTTCCCGTGGCGAACAACGCGCGGGCACAACCGACGAACAACACGCGCGGGCACAACCGGCAAACGCATCGGAGAGCTGTGGGGGAACGATGTAGTCACGTGTGGCGCCCCACCGGCCCGTGCCGTGGGCTCTAAACAACAGCTGGCCGTGCTGTGCCCACAGGTGCGCAAGGAGTACAGCAAGTGCCTCCGCCACTCGGACTGCTGCGGGGGATGGGGTGGAGACTCTTCCTACAACTCGAGCAAGAACACCAACTCCAGGAACAGCACACGCTACTCGCCAAACTCGCAGGTCCGTACCTGGTGCGGTGTGTAAACATCGCCACGAGGGAGACAAAGGCGGCCGGGCGTGGTGCTGAACCCCCACCCACTCGTGTGCCGTGCCGGCCTTCATAGGCGCTACTCGCTAACAGTACTTGCCCCAACAGTCTGTTTAGGCTATGCGGGGGGGATCTTTGTCTTTGTACGCGTGTGTGTACATGCGTGTGCGAACGCTTCCTCGCAAGTCCACCCAGGAGGTCACACGTGTGGTTCTACCCCGTGCCCGTGGTGCACCCAATCCATCCGGGTGGTGCTGTGGATAAGCACGTGACCCTCGGTTGGAAGTGACTTGCAATTACATTCTGGTCGAGGGTCGAATTGGCCCAGCGTCCCTTCAGTCCCGCTTTGTGGGAGGGCGCCATTGGGTGCTCTATCCAGAGAGACTTGTTCCGGTACTAGAAATGTGGAATTTAGCACGTAGATTTTTGGAGATACTCCAAGGTCTTGCAACTTAGGCTGCCAATTGCTCAACACGTGGCCTTTGCCCGAAGACCACACCGGCAAATGTGGACCTAGAAACACTGCTAAGGCACGGAGGCACGCTGCGTCTCACGCAACCCTGAAAATTTGCATGTTGCGATTTGAGTTATGATGAAAGGATTTCTAACGCTCCATAGATTCGACATCAGCGATGCCAAATAATTACCATCTGCTCATTTCACGTATTAATCAGGCTCAAGACATTTTATATAACCTCAACTGTATACAAATAAAATTCCCACGGCTTTGGATACATCACCTTGAGACGCAGTCACACGTAGACGCGACTGCCCGAGTCCAGATGTGTATTATGTAAATAGTATTATGAGATTCGTTTAATAGTTCGCATGTATAGAAGTGTCCTTCTGGCCAGACAAAACAGAGCGCGTGTGTCATTGAGTGGAGCGTGGAGTTGCGGGCCGAGGGCGACTGCTGACGCGCGGTGATGGTTGCGTGCGGTGTAGAGCCGCATTCGGAGGATGTGGAATGACACCGTGCGCAAGCAGACCGAGTCCTCCTTCATCTCCGGGGACATCAACAGCAGCTCCACTCTGAACCGGGGTGAGGGCAGCACGCACACACGCGTACACACAAACTCCACCGTGTCTGTCCAGTGCTCGCCGAAGATGTGACAATGTCGCACCCATCACACGTAAAGTTCTTGCACACAGATGAACCACAATACCTTGCTAATTTCATCAAGGAGCATAAACCATCACGCTAACTCTCAGTCATCCTCGCAGTGGCTTTTTGCGAGCCATTGAACAAAGACGGCCACCGCATTGCGCGCTTTCAGATGCTCTTCTGCGGCCGTCTGGAACGCTCTTCCTTCCGATATTAGGAAGCCACTGGAGCTATGCACCTTGAAATCTAAACTCGTTTTCTCAGAGTTGCTTTTTGTGTTTAGTTGGTTGTCCTTCCCCTGTACCTCCTGTTAGCGCGGTTGGCTACGTACGGTGCGAGAGAAGTTCAACATCCACACACAAGCACATTCGACCATACGCACACTCAACTATACCTAGTGCAGCATGTCATCCACTGTACTACCTGACATACAAAGAGAAGTGACAAAGACGTCCCATATAGCCTTCAACAGACTGTTTGGGCAAGTGCTGTTTGCGAACAGTTATTAAAACCGGCACAGCACACGAGGGGCTGGGTGGCCAGCATCATACACGGGTGCCTTTGTCCCCCCAATGCTGATGCTTATACAGCGCACCAGTTCCTCAATTAAGTCTGAGTCCATCTAGGGGAAGCCCACAACTCGGTCAGATATCACCATTGCTGGTTGTGAGCAGAAATAAAATTCTGGTCACCAGGTTTGTAGAGCATTGCACTTTCCACTGCACTACCGCTCCCCATATACACACAAAAGACAAATACAAAGATCCCCCGTACAGCCTTAATAGACTGTTGGGGCAAATGCTTTTCATGAGCACATATGAAGACCGGCATCTTACACAAGGGGGTGGGTGACCAGCACCACGCCCGACTGCCTTTGTCTCCCCAGTGGCACTGTTTACACACCGCACCAGATACTCATTTGAGGCTGAGTAGACCTAGGGGAGGTCCATGACCGATTCAGAAAATCGTCACTGGTGTTGGCCGTGAGCAGGAATCAAACTCGGGTCGCCGGGCTCGTAGCGCAGCGCAGCGCTAACCGTGGCACTACCGCTCCCACACGCACACACGCGTATACACACACATTTAGACCCTTCGACATACATGCATTTGTATGGGCAGTTTCTCCACGCTTATATCCTACTGAGGTGAGTAAATCACGCAGCCAGGCAAGAAGGCACACATGCATGCATTTATTTCATCAACGGTAGCTTCACTCTCATCTGGGATTACTGAAGTGAAGCATGCAAGCACACATGCACACACTTACACACCCAACGGGTGCTCCGGTGGCTAGGAGATGTTAACTACCTCGCCTGGTATACAGGAAGTCGTGGGTTCGATCCCAGCCCCAACGCCTGTATATTTGTAGTTTTCATGTCTCTCCCCGTGGTCGCGGTTTTTTTTCCGGGTCCTCTGATTTTTCCCACCACATTGAATAAAAACATGCGTTTAGAGTGTTTGGCTGCTATAAATTTACACATGATGAGCCACTTCATTGGGCTATCATTTGTGATAGCCAGGTCGCTACTGAAAAGGAGCTAAATAGCTCAGTAGGCCTTACCTGGTAAAATAAAAAGAGCGTAGTTTCGTTTTTAGTAAGTAACGCCTGTAAAAGCAGCACAGGCGCACACAGGCAACACAAGCAGACATGTGAATACACGAAGTGGTGAAGGAGCAGCCCTGAAATTTCTCGCCAATGCCACTGCTGCTAGAAGGGGCCTCCACTCTCCGGACCTCTGGCCTACCCTTCACCCTGCCGCACGCAGCCTGCCACTCGGCTAACTTTGGTGAAACCCACAATTGGTTTGTTATGGGTCAGATTGTGTAGGTGCAATCTAAATCTTAAATATGACCCTCCACCACCCGACACAGCCAATCAAAGTAAGTCGTCACGTGCGCAAATATGCCAATTGATTTGTTTTATTTTCTTCAACAAATTGAAATGTCAAGGAAGCAAGCAAATTGAGCAGCAAGCAATTAGCGTAGAAACGTCGAGAAACATTGGCTTTGCGATTCAGCATTCCGCATTGCTGACAACCCATATCAATTGGAATGTTTTCTCACGTGACAATTTACTTTGATTGGCTGTGTCGGGTGGTGGAGGGTTTCGGTTTTAAAAAACGCGTTATACCTACACGCTCGAACTCAAGAGCAACTGGTTATGAATTGTAATATTGGTCGTAAAAGCCGACGTGTAAAAATGTGGTGAACCCGTTTATGCTTCTGGGTGGACATAGGTGGGGGAATAAAAACAAATCGTGGCACCCTTGTAGTCACCCCTGTCGTCACCTGCCACGCCAGGTGACTGAACCGACGACGACCCCCTCTGGGCTGCAAGTCCCCATTGCGCTAACCGTCACACCGCGGCGGCTCGCTACGCACGATGACGTGCGATCGCCAGATTTATTCGGCTTAAACCGCTTTTGGCTTAATGTTGGCCTTCGGCTACGCGTATGCGCCCGTACAAACATAACACGGACGTTAGCTGCAGGGAAAGGGAAACGGGTGCGCGGTGTACTGCGCCGAAGCTCGATTGTACTGTACGGGCAACACAAACGTGGAAATGGGATGGGGGAGGGATGAGAGTAATTAGGGCGTGCGGGGAGGGAGGGAGGATGGATCGCAACTGCAAGGGATCGTGGTCCGTTGTGTCAACGCGGAAAGGCATTCATCCAACAGCGAATCGGAAATGATTAATGATGGTGATGGGCGAAGAGGAGCAGCGCGGGAGCGTAATGCGCGCACGATTGCACACGCGGACATTTTTCCCAAGCCGACGATGCACATCTCGGCACCAAACACTGGAAGTGGTCAATTTAATGGATTCACTTCATGAACTATATTTTCGCACGGACGAGGCAAGAGTGATTTCTTTTTTACGTGTAAATGTTTCACTTTTTCCCGTACAACCCCCTTTGCGAGTAATTCGAACCTCAAAGGCATCCCCCACCCAACTCGAGTGAGTGACGGAGTGGCGCTTATCTTCATTGGGGGGCCATGAGCCAGCGATGGTAATTCTACATTCCTATGATGGGGGGCCAAGTCCTTTCCATAGAACAAGCCCTAATTGGAATTACCACGAAGACTGCAGCTCTAGAACACAGTGGGTCTAGCGCTTGGACCACAGCATCACCAAGGCACTGAATAACATTGTCTAGCGCTTGGACCACAGCATCACCAAGGCACTGAATAACATTGTCTAGCGCTTGGACCACAGCATCACCAAGGCACTGAGTAACATGGTCTAGCGCTTGGACCACAGCATCACCAAGGCACTGAGTAACATGGTCTAGCGCTTGGACCACAGCATCACCAAGGCACTGAGTAACATGGTCTAGCGCTTGGACCACAGCATCACCAAGGCACTGAGTAACATGGTCTAGCGCTTGGACCACAGCATCACCAAGGCACTGAGTAACATGGTCTAGCGCTTGGACCACAGCATCACCAAGGCACTGAGTAACATGGTCTAGCGCTTGGACCACAGCATCACCAAGGCACTGAGTAACATGGTCTAGCGCTTGGACCACAGCATCACCAAGGCACTGAGTAACATGGTCTAGCGCTTGGACCACAGCATCACCAAGGCACTGAGTAACATGGTCTAGCGCTTGGACCACAGCATCACCAAGGCACTGAGTAACATGGTCTAGCGCTTGGACCACAGCATCACCAAGGCACTGAGTAACATGGTCTAGCGCTTGGACCACAGCATCACCAAGGCACTGAGTAACATGGTCTAGCGCTTGGACCACAGCATCACCAAGGCACTGAGTAACATGGTCTAGCGCTTGGACCACAGCATCACCAAGGCACTGAGTAACATGGTCTAGCGCTTGGACCACAGCATCACCAAGGCACTGAGTAACATGGTCTAGCGCTTGGACCACAGCATCACCAAGGCACTGAGTAACATGGTCTAGCGCTTGGACCACAGCATCACCAAGGCACTGAGTAACATGGTCTAGCGCTTGGACCACAGCATCACCAAGGCACTGAGTAACATGGTCTAGCGCTTGGACCACAGCATCACCAAGGCACTGAGTAACATGGTCTAGCGCTTGGACCACAGCATCACCAAGGCACTGAGTAACATGGTCTAGCGCTTGGACCACAGCATCACCAAGGCACTGAGTAACATGGTCTAGCGCTTGGACCACAGCATCACCAAGGCACTGAGTAACATGGTCTAGCGCTTGGACCACAGCATCACCAAGGCACTGAGTAACATGGTCTAGCGCTTGGACCACAGCATCACCAAGGCACTGAGTAACATGGTCTAGCGCTTGGACCACAGCATCACCAAGGCACTGAGTAACATGGTCTAGCGCTTGGACCACAGCATCACCAAGGCACTGAGTAACATGGTCTAGCGCTTGGACCACAGCATCACCAAGGCACTGAGTAACATGGTCTAGCGCTTGGACCACAGCATCACCAAGGCACTGAGTAACATGGTCTAGCGCTTGGACCACAGCATCACCAAGGCACTGAGTAACATGGTCTAGCGCTTGGACCACAGCATCACCAAGGCACTGAGTAACATGGTCTAGCGCTTGGACCACAGCATCACCAAGGCACTGAGTAACATGGTCTAGCGCTTGGACCACAGCATCACCAAGGCACTGAGTAACATGGTCTAGCGCTTGGACCACAGCATCACCAAGGCACTGAGTAACATGGTCTAGCGCTTGGACCACAGCATCACCAAGGCACTGAGTAACATGGTCTAGCGCTTGGACCACAGCATCACCAAGGCACTGAGTAACATGGTCTAGCGCTTGGACCACAGCATCACCAAGGCACTGAGTAACATGGTCTAGCGCTTGGACCACAGCATCACCAAGGCACTGAGTAACATGGTCTAGCGCTTGGACCACAGCATCACCAAGGCACTGAGTAACATGGTCTAGCGCTTCCTACCACATGCACATCTTTACTGGGCAGGTTCTTCTTCTTGGTTCTTTTGGGCAGGTTCTGCACACCAAAAAAAGAGTGTATTCTTTCGTGTGTTCATCTATGTTTAAGTACATGTAACGCCCATGTTTGGCGATCCACTTCTGTAAGAGGCCCGTCCTCCCGACGTCGTGAGGTCTGTGGGGGGGATTGGACCGTACTTCACCACGCTGGTCAGTGCGGGTTGATGAAGGCGGGGAACACGGAGAGGGAATTCAATTTGCTGCTCTGGCCTCTCCGGCCCTGTGAGCCCCGTGGCAACCTGCTGGTGCAATGGGGGTCACCGATCCAGGCACTATCCAGGCTCAAGCCTGCTTAGCTGATGAGAGCTGATGAGTGTAGGTGCATTCCAGGTGATTTGTATCACACGGTCACAACTGATATAGTTTAAATGGCATGCCTATACAGTGCATCTGATGCAGAGATGATAGTTTGTTAATGTCAGCCTCAAAAATAATTGAAAGTTCTCAAATTGCTGACATGACTACATATCTACTTTGCAAGATGCCCACAACCATACGTTTGTAGGTATTTCCAGCTGCATCCTTTGTCGATTGTCTCAGAAATACATCGGTCGCTCAGCGGATAAAATCAACTGGCCACGACGAGATTGCGGGGTTCCACATGCGATGTCACTCCACCCATGCCGTGAATCCGCAGTGGGTAGGTGAATATTTACACGGATTGCTTTACAAAATCACCGTGTGCGTTTGGCAGGAGGCCCACTTGCTGTAGAACTTCTTTGCGTTTACCTAAACCGCCACTCAAATTCAAAATCAATCGCCACCGATATCGTGACGACAAAGCAAAGGGAAGTGCCACAAAACTACTGTTCGGCTCTCTCATGAAAGTTTCCATCTTTCACGTGGCAGCAGAGTGGTGAAGCTGTGCTCAGCAATGTAATTGGACGTTTTTTGATGGCCTTACATAACCGCTGTCGCCATCTCGCTTGATTCGAGCTCCTTGCCCGTGTGTCTTTCATGTCGGCGGCCGCCACGCTCGTGAAGCCCCTCTGCTGTTTTCCCGCGCTCCTCATGAGCAGGTCACAGGGGCGCTGCGAACAGCCCCTAAATAGTTTCCCGTCTAAACAGCACACGCTGGCACCGGCTCACTGCCTGGCTGCCTCCAGCTTGTCTGTGGTTCCTCAGCGATTGTAAGATGCAATTTGCATGCACGATGCTGTATAGAACCAAACGTCACGATTAGTACGCATTATATCCTGAAAATGGTGTTCGTTCTCACAACTGGATTTTTGCCGAATTGAGCGAAAAACCCAAAGTGCGACTTCTTCGTTTGCCAAGTCATTGGTGACCGAGCCGAGACCATCGACTGTGCACTCGAGAATTTTGCAGAGTCGATGGTGGGCGGTCGAAGCCCCAACATTCGGACCCCAGTCTCTCATCGGTGCCGGCTCAAGTGCCCTCTGACCCCTGAGCCACCCAGCCACCTCCGGTCACAATGCCTCGATGAGATTTATCAACGGATTTGTGCTGTCTCACATCTCACAGATAAAAGGAAGGCACAACCTGCATTTCAAAAAGATCTTATATTTCAGATTGAGAAATGAGATCCCTACGCTTGACAGCTCAGTTTAATCACGGGATGGTTCAAACCCAGAATCGACCTCAAGATCTCACGTATGTCTAGTGAACTTCTTTCACACTCTACGTAGCCAACCGCGCTAATCGGAGGTGCTAGTGCCCTGAGCTACGCAGTTACGTCCTCTTTCAAAAGATGTCTAATTCACACAAGCATTACACGAGCTCTGCCTTACAATACGATACAAACTAGAGTTAAATACTACAACCAAGTCACCTTGGATACACTCATCAAATCTCGGAAGCTAAGCAGGTTTGAGTCTGAAGATTCGTACTTGAGTTGGTGACTGCCAGGGCTTGCCAGGTGTTGTAGGCGTGGTCTACGAGGTGACCAGAAGAAGTGTCCACCTCCCCTCTGCGAGGACTGTGACATACAAATGCAAGCCGAGGTGTGATAGAATCATCATCGCCTTGCCCAGCTCCTCTCGACATTGCCAGCCATTGCCTCTTCTCGGTCAAATAAATACTCGCCGCGCCCCCATGCTCTCTGGATGTGTGCAACTCACATGCGGCGTGCTCGCACGGACGTTTGCTTTGTCGACGCAACTAACACCGATCGCCTTCTCTAATGAGCGCAACACATTTGGCGCATCCTCCATTGGCACACTTTGCGTAGCCTGTGCTTCTTGCCGTCGGGATGCGGACCGCATGGTCGCTCATTGAGATGATGACCGGACGTCTGCGACGAAACGTTTTGCCTTTGTTTGCTTCCTTTCCACGCGGCCTTTGGTGTGTGGCTTAATTCACGATGGCCAATAATTTTCGGCCCCCCTTTCCCCCTGTTTCCTTCTTTTTATTGTCTCCTTTGTTCTGTCCTCGTTTAAACCCAGCCGGGTTTCTGTTGGAGACAAAAAAAAAGAGACGTTTAGTCTCAAAGGGGCCTGGTCATAAAGGTCATCCTGTATAACTTCAAGGGGCTGGAAGGTTGCAGGCTCAACATATATTGTCACAGGAAAACAACTTGGTGTTTCGGAATAATGTGATTCTTGCTTTACAGAAATCGCGTTGTATGACGACGATAAGACAACCTGATGAATGTATTCTTTAAATTAAGGTTTCAGTCGTGAAAGTCATTGGCGTTGGGAGTGCACCTTCATGATGATGATGAAAACAAATATTGTTATTATATACCAGATTCGCCTTATTAGGAATAATCAGCATAACAGCACTGCCAAATTATGTCCCTCTCTACACAATATGTTAACTCCAAAAAGAGGAGAAATCAGGACTGAATAAAGGCTTGCAAAACAGGGCAACGTTCTTCCCAAATGAGTGGGAATCATCTTAAACTGTAATAAAGTTTTGTATGCGTTCCATCCTGGGAAATATGTTCCATTTTGGCATTGTTTGGATGTACTGTATCTGATGGCGCATGCCTGTGGGTCAGATCTGTCATCGGTGAGTCACGGCACGTGCACACTTGTCCCTCCAAACGACGCTCGTGCTAATCGAGTGCTAACCCAGCAATCGTGTTCCCATGCGGTCATTGGTGGCCTGTAGGGTTACAACCAACGCATCCATCAAAACGTGTCCATCAAAATTTATTTTACCTTTGGCTTGATGATTAAAACAAAAAAATTAGGAAACTATTCCTGGGGGTAAATATTTAGGTCAAAATTTGTAGAAAATTATTTTATAATTGCCGAAAAAGACAACAAAAGATACCCAAATGTGCACAATATAATGTAAGTTAATACAGAGTACTCGGCAGATATGGTGGCAGAGATTGCGTTTCGAGAGGGTCGTAGAGCGTAGAGTACGGCGATGTTGTCACAGTGCGTTGTCACGTTTTGTACGTCGCCAAAACTACGGCGGTCTTTGTCTTGTTCAAAACGTTGTGGTGAATCAGCGCATTTTAAATCGAATTACGTTCCCTAATCTGTTGGCGACGTCATCGTGAAACGACAACTTAAATAGCAGCAACGCAATTGGAGGACTTATTTAAGATGTCACGGATAAAGATGTGTGTTGAATGAGAATTGATACATTTGTGTAATTTGAATGTAATTGGTTTACCCGACCCTTGCAGCCGCTCACTCTCGAGGCAATTTGTTACCCGCCACAAGTCGCGACAATTCATTTTGTCACGGGGAGGGGAAATCATCGCCGACCGAGCGACCAGAGAGAAACCACCAACCCAGCAAACCACCTTGAGAGCCTTGCTGTAACAGCCGCTAGCCGCCTGGGATTCGAATCGCCGAGTATATCCGACGTGCACATGAGGCCAACCCCCCCCCCCCCCCCCGATCCTGCCAACCGCCTAAAAAATTACAAACCAAAAAATCAGTATTGTAAAATGCGTCAGAGACGGGCAGCGTAGCGTGAATTGGTGAGAGGTCACGCTTACGCTCCTCGTATAATTGGACCGCCGCAGTCCTTTGGACCGGTGTTCTGAAGTTGGACAGGTGCCACCAGGAATAATTTTAATTAGACTTTTAAAAGTGAAAGACAGTGCTCAGATTTCTGGTTTCGAATCCTGATTAAACTGGGCCCTCAAGTGAGTTGTTGATCTCAGCCTCGGGTCACCAATGACTGCGTACAAAAACGTATCACCTTCGGTTTTCCACTTAAATTTGGTTAAATTCCAGCCCTGTGAATTAAAACATCGCGTTGACTTTCATGTGAAAAACATAACTCTCGTATGCAGAGCGAGTGCAAAAGTGCTACCTTCTGTGTGGACTTAGAGGTCACTGGAACGGATCTCAGAGGTAGCTCTGAGATATCCACTTCCCGGTGGGCCGCTCTCTTAACACCAACGGTGGCACTGCTCTGCGAGGGATCCAAATCGAGACTTGGTCTCGAGACGCAACGCCGATAGCACGAATTGGAATAAAGCTGTGAGCAAATAACGACCAAATATGTCACAAGGTGAAAGCCATCGGCCTCGGAGGCCACCTGCCCACCTCGCTTTCTGCACTGCTGTCCTTGCCTTGCTGTGAGTGCACGCTTCTCTCCTCTGTCTCCTCTGTTCTGCTGTCGCCGGGGCTTTCTCCACGGCGCTCTCTTCTGCCGCCGGCCTGCCGTACAGGCCTGGTGGGTAACCAGCTTCTCAGCAACTCCCTGCTGCGCCCGCATGGCTCTAACAACCTGTATAACACGCTGCTGGCCGACACGGTGGTGTGTAACGCGCCGGCCACCGGCGTCTACCGCAAGTCACCAGGTGGGAGGCCCAGCGGACTGCCCTCCACCCACCCACCGCGCACTGTCCCTTGTACCCTGCGCCCGCGGGAGGGGGCATCGTGGGTTTGACAGGGTGAAGGTACACGAGTGATAACACGAGGGGAACGCGGCTCTGACCGCCGCGCGAGTTTTCGCAGTTGCGCCTTGCGTATGTACGTTTAACTTCTTTCGCACCGTACGTGGCGAACCGCGCTAATCGGAGGCTGCCCGATGTGCTTTCGCGTTGGACCGCGTGCTGCTCGGCACGGCGTCGGTTCGGTTGCTGACAAAGCTCCGAGCACGTGGGGCGAAACGGCGGACGTCTTGCCGGATGACGCAGCGTAGAAGCGGAGAGCACGCCGGAGAGCTAAACAAAGGGTCTTTGTTCAGATTGGTGGCTCCACGGCGCCAAAGAGAGGAGCCTGCAAGGTCAATCTGGGATTTATAGCCTCGTGTGATAACGCGTGCAGGTGGATGAATTGATATGAATGTGAAGGCGACATGTGATAATGCTGCTGCCGGTGATGATGGTGATGACCCAGTGTCTCCAAGAGAACAGATCTCCTGAGACGCTGCATCGGCTGCATGTGCCTGTCTGGAGAAAAGCGCTTACGAAGCTTCTGCCAGTGCATTCCATTCAGTTACTCAGTCGGTCTCTATGCGAGTCAACTGGGTCTCTATGCGAGTCTATGCGCCTCTCCGTGAGTCCATGGGTCTCTGTGTGACTATATGGATCTCTATGCGATTCTATGATGAAGCCAACCACCGGAGCAGTCCATATTCTCACTGGAGCCCCACGGTGCATGCTTTACCACCCGAGACTGCCAAGCCCGGGAGTGGAGCTTGTGTAGCCTCCTCAAGCTGGAGCCACGGTTCCGCCACTGCTCGTGAGGGGTCTGAACATTCGCAGCCACGGGGAAGATCCCCGCAAGGACCCCCCGCGCCTCTCGCCCGGGGTCAGCCTGTCGCCTGATCAAACCCAAACCACGCGTCACATCACACCGAGCCGTGGAAGTAACGCGCCGTGGCACTTTTCAAACGATTCAATTACGTTTATCAGATGGGTGAATCACAGATGAAGTAGGTTGCCCTATAGATGAGAAACCCAGTTATTCTTAGGTTAGCCTCAATTTCCCAGGCGAAGGAACGCGCTAATGCGGTGACCACGCATCCCTGACAGGGCCCCCTTGCAGCGGAGAGGGGGAGGCGTCGCCGCTTCTCCTTGGCAATGACTTTTTACGTCAATGCGTACTCGCAACGCGGCGTAATTTGTAATTGTAATTACCGTGTCATTTTCACAATGATTCTTTCGGTAATTGGGTGTCAATCAAGGTATCATTCATCATTAAAGAATGTATAATTAGGCATCGGTTTGAACTACGTGGTTGAAATGTTGGCAGCATTTTTGTTGTGAGATTTTCTTTTACATAAAATCTCCGGCGATATTCCAGCGCCACGCAGCGCAGGCATTCGAACGATCCATAGCTGGGTCGGGCCGTGGACAATGGGGATTCTAATCACGATCCGACGTGCAACGCCAACGCCAAGGGGGTCGTGCGGAAGTTCAAAGAGGCGAGACTCGCAAGATAAAATCTTCTAACCACCACGCGTGCGTGTGTGTGTAGTTTTGTTATGGGGTGCGGTGGTGCAGCGCTTAGCGCGCTGCACTACGGACCCGGAGACCCAAGTTCGATTCCCGCTCACGGCCAACACTAGTGACGATTGTCTGAACCGGTACTGGGCCTCCCCTAGTTCGACTCAGCTTCAAATGAGTACCTGGTGCGGTGTGTAAACATCGCTACTAGGGAGATAAAAGCGGTCGGGCGTGGTGCTGGCCACCCACTCCCTCGTGTGCCGTGCCGGCCTTCATAGGTGCTACTCGCTAATAGCACTTGCCCCTACAGTCTGTTAAGGCTATACTGGGCATATTTGTCTTTGTAGTTATTTTACTTATATAGGGGAGTGGTGGCGCAGTGGTGGTCGCGCTGCACTATAAACCCGGCGAGTTTGATTCCTGCTCTCGACCAGTAACGATGGCAAATCATTTTCACCAATCCTGTGCCCTCCCATAGGTCGACTCAGACTGGCACGAGTGCCCGGCTGCGGTGTCTAGACATCAGCACTCGGGATACAAAGGTGACTGGGCATAGTGTTGGCCGCTCACGGCACTTTCCCCGGCAATCTATTCAAAGCTATATGGGGGATCTTTGTCTTTGTAGCTTTAGTCACATAGCTCACACCGCTGCCTAATTGTGGTTCTTAAATAATGGATGATGCCTTCATGGACACCCTGTTGTATATCACGTGTTGTGTAAGGTTTTATAGGGAAGACACAAGTTGAGTGGCCAAAATAATGATTTTAATTTGTTCTAATAACAGCGATGTTGCAATCCAATAGACGATCAAAGTGTTGTCAAAATTAAACACGTTTCTTTTTTCTCGTGATAGCACATTCGTTGGCAACGTTGCACAATGACAAGTAACAAAATCCCAACACGCGTGTCAGTAGCACAGGAAAAAAGTCGAAGGCGAGGAAGTAGCGGAAATTCCTGAACCGTCACACGTGACGCATGTGTTCCTCTCCAGGGCGGTGTCATTGACGAATGTCAAAGTTCCGTTGAAGGAATTCGGTACTTCTGGCCTCACCGCTCGTGGTCACCTGGAGGAGACCGGGAAGTGCCTTAGAGAGTCGCACCCTGCGCCTTGTATCCAGGACGAAAATTGCAAAAGCGAATTCCTCCAGCGCTGCTCTAAAAGTGCAATTTTCAGCCCTGCCACTGTCGGTTTTAGAGAGAGGTCATGCAGAGCTGGATTTCACCATCAAGATTATATAACAAGAACGTCTCACCGCGCAAACCAGCAGCATGGAACAGCGATGCATTCAAAAACGCATTAAATTCTTCACCGACATCAAAAATGTGGTTGTTTAAAAAATATGTCTATTTGTCGCAAAGGGAAAGTGTTTTATTAACATGTCCTCCTGGACGTGCCGTATATATACATGCCGCGTGACAATATTAGTTCGTTACTAAAGTAGAGGGTGGTTCTATATCGCGCTGTTGAATGTGTTGGGTATTTGTGATTAATTTAAGTGTCCGCTTCATTCGCCTAAAACAACACTGTAATTAGACCGCAAGTGCTCTGTGAAAGGTTTCAGGTCTACATTTTAAAGGGAATGTGCTTTATTTTTTTATTTACTTTTTTTTAAACGAAAAACCTTTAGAGTAAAATTAAGCCCGCTTTTTTTTTGTAGAGCACGCTAAAGTTACGTCCAAGTAAGTGCTCCCGATAAACGGATTAAACGTCGCAGTCACAGGAAAATGGAGATGCTGTTTGTATATTCAGCGGAACGATGCAATGGTTGTCGGGCACTGCATGGATAATGAATGTATGAATTGTGTAATATATTGTCCGAGCGCTTTATTTGTAGCCGAGGGATTAATGCTGATATTTTCTTGTGCGTGAGACTCTTGAATAATTACCATTAAATATTTACAAAATACATTACAAGTATGCTAATAATCCTATGCTGCGCTCTGTAAATATCCAGATTGTGTGCTTACATGCAGTATAATTGACCGCTTCGCCCATTCAAATAAAAATAATATCTTGTCCCACCCCTCATCATTAATGCTGCCTTGCAATGGAAAATACATTTAACAGGCAAACGTTTTGAGTAATGATCCTTCTTCAGAGCATATATAGACTCATCTTCTTCTTTGCCGTGAAGTGATTTGGATGGAGTGCCCTTGCCAATAATATCTGATAACCTAGCAGCATTTAATTAACGAAGCTGACTTTGCTGATGAGAACCCAAAGATCAAAACCAGTCCAGGGTTTGCTTGCTTAACAAATGCTGCTGGATAATATAAATACATATTCTGATTCTGAATATTGCTGCTGGAAAGACAAAGAGGCCAGTGGACTAAAACATATTCTCATTCATAGATGGAGATACGGAACCAGAGTTCTGCTTACGTGTGCTTCTTCAGAGCACGCATTTTCCCTAAATCCCATTCTATCCATTCAAAACTGTTGATACGTCAACTAAACCCCCCCCCCTAGTTTTCACAAGGCACCATCGCTGTCAATAAGTCGGCCGATCTTTCTACCGTACCTTCTGCTCTGAAGAAGCAGGCCACTGCCCAAAACATCATCCTACCCAGGCCCGGTGGTTTTCCCATTGTAAGGCGGCGTTCCTAATGCGGGCGTGCGGTGTTCAATTCCTTTTCACAATTACGCCGGTCCCGACACGGCCAATGCAGTCCGTTAAATTTCGGACTCGCGTCCACAGCGGCGGCCTTAGCTGTTGATGTGGAGCGGAGTCTGATTCACGTCTCTCCGCTTAAAGGTGGTCGGCGGCGGCGGGCGGTTCTCAATGCCGAGTTTAAAATCTCAGGATTTGTGCAAAAGTCGCACATCTCGTGATACGGGCAGAGCAGCTGGTCAGCAGGACGGACTTGTTGCACCCTGTGTAGGCTTGTTCGCTGTATTCCATTCTTGTCGGGTTGTGCTGCCGTAACTTTTGGCTTTTTTCTTCCTTTGCCCCCCCTCTTCCCCCCACCCCAACCCCCTCACGCACTCGCTAGTGGCCAGCCGACAGTCAAGCATGGCTCTAGACGATAACTTTTCCCATCAAAAGTAAATCCTTTTTTAGATTCAACATTCGGGAAACTGAATGTGACGTGTCTTAAATTACCGGGTGGGGAGTTGACGTTTCTTGATTTTAAAAAACTTGGTTTTTAAACTCATCTTTTGACTATGATGCGCAGTGGCATAACTAGTCCAAGTAAAACCACAAACCCTGGGCCTTTCCAAGTTCCACGGTCCAGACCCGGCCAAGCAAGGTATTAAAATGATGTTCTCAAAGGGTCAAGTTGCAGACCGGCAGTGGCTTCCTCATGCCACTGTTGGTGGAAGGGCTTCCTTCCATTCGTGGGAGCTCTGTTATCGAGGCCTATGCCTCCATACTAAATGTTATAATATTCCACTACCGTCATCCATGTTTGTCAGCCACACACGGGAACTTGAAAAAGCCCATTTTCTTAGCTTGAGACTCCAGTTATGCCATTGATAGACGAATGTTGTTCTCATAAAGTCAACTTATGGTAAATGTAGCGGACTACCGTTATCAATTTAACACAAATGCAATCCTGAAATTGATCATGATGTAAAACACGTAGGCATGATTACGAACACAAGGAAGGCTGTACACAGTACAGTGCTGTTCCCCTCCCGAGTACAGTGTGTTGCTTGAGTTTGCCCTCTGTGTTTGCTTCGCTCGCCAATCCACAAGTGCTGGAAACACGTGCGTCTCAAATGCATTGAGCCCCTGCTGCTGATGCCCCATCCACAGGTTAATCTGGCATCTGATAAAGTCACCTTTTTCAAATTGTACTAAACTCTATACGAGTGCTATTCATTTAGATTATCTGAAGAAAATAGCTCTTCATTGCGGTATTTGGAAGTATTTTTTAAGACGGGTGACTTCATGAGAGTTTGAACAAGGTCGAGAGGTCATCACGGCCCATGCCGTTGATTCTCCCAGACCTCTTTGAATCCAATATTTGACTTTAGGGGATTAATGCATTTATGTGTCATACATTTTATGAGTTGCTGTTTGTATATCCGCATCGTTGGTTATCGTTTATCATTGTCATTTTTTTATTTCGCTTTTTAGATTATACTTTGAAATAGCAACTTGCAGTTATCAATTTTTGAGAGCCCGAACTGCGAGGGTTAACTTTTGATCGCCCCGTCCTGTGCCCCCACCCCGCCCATCACCGTCGCTTGCAGAGCACTCAATGACCAATGCAAGAGACACAAGCACAATGGATACTCTACCGCTAAATGGTAACCACGGCAAGAGCTACCACCTGAGCAGCAGGGACTTCCTGGGAGACCAGCGGGGCGGCCCCGGGCTCTCAGAGCCCCCTTACGACAACAAAACCCGTCTCTCCGAACTCCACCCGACAAACGGGCCCGTCTTCCTCTCCGACTCCGAGGGCGTACTCGAGAGCCGATCGGCGCAGGGATGTAGGCCTCCCGACCCCGACAGCGACTCGCGCAACGGACCCGCGTACCTAGCCGGTGGCGAGCGCGACGCCACCGCCAAGCACCAGCTGGTGTACGTGGGGCGGCAGGACACCCAGTGGGAGAACCGCAATCCCCGGCACCAGCTGGTTTACGTGGGCAAGAGGGACAGCCTGCAGGGCGACCTCAAAGCCCAACTGGTGTACGTGGGACGGCAGGACGGCTTGACCGACGACGCGATGCCGCAGTTCGACCGCGGCCGGGCCGGCGACTGCGGCGGCAGCGGCAGCAGCAGCGAGGACGACGCCATCGTCGCCGACGTGCCGGCGCTCGCCCCGGCCCAGGGGGCGGGGGTGCCGGGGCTCGTCCAGGAAGGCTCGGGCGCTCCGCTGCTGCCCACGCGCACCCACTCGCTGCAGCCGCCCCACCGCCGGGCCGCGCGGCCGCCCGGCGGCCCCGACGCGCCCGTCACCTTCTTCCCGCTGCTGTCTCCGAAGCAAGTGGCCGAGCTGCAGTCGCCCACGCGGGACTCGCTGTACACCAGCATGCCCGACCTGCGGGAGCCCGGTCGCCCGGACCCGAGCGGGGCCGGCGGCGCGGAGCAGGAGCTCTTCTGCCAGTCGGTGCCGCGAGCCTCCTCCAAGCCCCAGCTGCACGCCTACTACCAGCCGAGCCGCGGCGGGAGCGAGGGGCGGGACCTGCCCCGCGGCGACGCCTGCCCCCCGCCGCCGCCGCCGCCGCCCGAGCCGAGCCGGGACGGCGGGGACGGCCACGCGGCGGGGCGCGGGAACAGGGAGAGCCGGGACGAGGTGGACTGCTGCGAGGGCTTTGCTCCGCCGGACGAGAGCAAAAAGAGCGAGGCGACCGAGGGAGACATCCGAGAAGGCAGCAGCACCCAGCTGGTCACCAGCCTATAACGGCCGCAGCCCCGCTGGGCGCCGCTGCACCGTGCGCTCGGAACGACTCCGACCGGGAAGCCACCTGCTCACGCCATCTGTACAAATCCCCCCATCTCGCTGTAAATGTGGTGTCGTGGACGGAACGTTAAATAAGCCTTGCTTTTAAGTTAACTGCTTTCATCGGTTAAAATTAAGACTCATACTAGTTCATACATTATATCGTCGTGTTTTAAAGACCTCAGAAGCAATTCAAGTTGTATTCTATGTATATAAATATCATCCTATGGCCTAAGTATTCACAAATACAGGGTACATGCAGTAGCTGCCCTGAAAATTATTGCTTTAATTTAAACCAGATGGATCTGGAGGCCTACCCTACATTGTGCTATTGGCATAATATTCTCACTTTGCATGATGTCAAAACAGTTTTTGAGAAGCCCCTCTGTGCCACGATGGTGGAATTCAATATCGTGTGAACCGACCATGCCGCTTGCATCTGCACTTTTTCTGACGCTTTTCTGCCAAGTGTTTGCTCCCAGGGACCCAGGCTACACATTTCTGCTGATTCTCATATTCACACGAAGTTTGTGACGCCGGTTATTTTAAAGCAAAAGTGTGTGGGGGGCGGAGCAACACAACCTCTACCGATAGAAACCAAAAACAAACGTACATACAACAACAACAACATATTCTACAACAACAACAACAACTTCCCCTGTTCGTGGCACCTTGAAATTTCACCAAGAGTCGTCTCGGACCACACCACAAAAGAACTTCCACAATCCTCCTCCCAACAAATCCGGCAAAAACGGCGCCCGGGGGGGGTAACGCGTACAGACGCGTGCCGGAGAGCATCCGCGTGAGAAAACGTTCATTGGTCGTGACATTGGATGAATCCGTCCGTGGTTTGTCAGGTGACAAGCGCGCAAAGCGGACCGAGGATGCGTCGTTGACTGTGAGAGAGCGATAGCACGGAACTGGAATTTTGTATCGTGCGAGAGACTTCTAACGGCCACTTGAAGCGGTATGAGGACGTATCGGCGGGGCCCTGCAGTCGAAAAGGCCACTGTGTGATGCAGGGAGTTCCTTGACAGTATTATCTGCAATATTCTGTGGTTAGCACAGACCGCGTGCAGCTAAACCCCACGACGTTTGATCCAGTAGATCTGTAAAAAAATACACAAAATAAAGACGTGTGTACTATATAACGCTGCCTAAACAAAAAAAAAAGGGAAGGGACTCTGGCCCGTTAGTTGAATTACGCTTTCGTTTCAAGGGAGTAATCGTAGAGAAAGAAGTATAACGTGAACAAGTGCTGTGATCACTTTCTTCTGTTCTTGTAGATAGATACAGTGGGCTTCGCGTGGAACCGCCCTGGCACTCGGCTTACCCCGAGTGACATTTTTACGCAGCCTCGCGACGGAAGGCAACGCAGCCCTGGTGTGTTCGTGACGCATCAATGCACGCCATCCCATGTACACACATTCCTTTGCAAGCATGCTCTTCCCAGCCCTCTCTCCCCACCAGTCTCCTCGTGTGCCCCTGTGTGTCGGTGTATCTCTGTCTTGTGTCCATGCCAGAGCCTATCCCCCCTTCCCCATCCGTTCCCCCCCCCACCTCAGGATTCATCCGACCCGAGTAAGCCGTCACCAAAACACGCGATATGTGTGTGCCGCCGTTGTTGTCACTTGTATTGACGGCCAGTGAAGGTCTCGAGACATATCCATTGCAAATCATGCAAATTAATCCTTAAGTTTTTGAGCCTGGCTGATGTGGCTTCGATCTTATTTCACTTTTTTTACGTGATTACTGCAGATATCTACCCGTAAGCAAACGGAAGTGCGAGGAATCATTCTGTAGTGTAGAATTATAAATACAAAAAAACGAATAACGTAGATATACACTTCTTACCGTAGATTATTTGGTTGAAATGTCGCCGATGGCTTTTGCCGGCCGGCCTTGCGAGGTGTGAGCGCTAAATGGGGGGGGGGGGGGGGGGAGAATCCGATGCCACGAACTCGCGGGGAATAGACGAGCACGAGTCCCGGAGTGGAACCGGCACGAGTTCCAGAGACAGTGGGATGGGCCCTGGAGATGAACCAGGATGAGTTCCAGAGACTATAGGATGGGCCCTGGAGATGAACCAGGATGAGTTCCAGAGACTATGGGATGGGCCCTGGAGATGAACCAGGACGAGTTCCAGAGACAGTGGGATGGGCCCTGGAGATGAACCAGGATGAGTTCCAGAGACTATGGCATGGGCCCTGGAGATGAACCAGGATGAGTTCCAGAGACTATGGGATGGATACCGAAGTCGAACCAGGATGAGTTCCGTAGACAATGGGATGGTTACCGAAGTCGAACCAGGATGAGTTCCAGAGACAGTGGGATGGGCCCTGGAGATGAACCAGGATGAGTTCCAGAGACAGTGGGATGGTTACCGAAGTCGAACCAGGATGAGTTCCGTAGACAATGGGATGGATGCCGGAGTCGAACGGGACGAGTGAGCGAGTGGATCATGCCCCACACCGCGCCGCGTGCTGCTTCCGTAAGCATAGAGTAGTTCTCGCGAGTCTCGTTTAAGAGTCGCATTTCTTTAAATTATTACTCATTGATTTGAAAGGTACTTTTATGAGTACTACGATTAATCTGTGGCTAATATTTGTTGTACATGTTTAACAGTAGTCTGTGGCTAATAAATGTTACAGCTTTATAAACTGTAAATGCGAGTCGCGTTGTTTTTGTTGTTGACGGAATGCGTAAACAGCGTAGCCCTCTGCGTTTGAAGGAATCGGTTCCCCACCCACCCAGACTTCGAGAAATAAAAATCACTCGAGACTACAAACAACTAGTAACATGTGCCAGTGACGCCTCTTGGAGTTTTCCTTCTGAATTTAAACAAAAATACCGTTTACCAATTGTCGGTGCTGCGATAGACAGAATAACATCAAAGTCCATCGAGGAGTTGAACTTCTCCGCGTGGAGACGTGGACACCGAAGAAGAGGCAAGAGAGAGGTTTGAAAGGGCAGAGATGAGAATGCCGAGATGGATGCTGGACATTATCCCACGAAGACGACGCTGAATGAAGAGGTTTGGAGCCTTGGCATGTTACTAATATTAATATTCTACTGGAACTCTATAAAAAAGGAGCTTTATAGCTAATCGGATTCCTCCAGCACGGATGTAAAACAAATCTAATGCCCAAGGAGCCGAGGGAGCGGCGCAGACTCGAGATGGTTTGAGCGCGTGTCGCGAAGAGACGAGGGGCATGCAATGGGCAGTGCTCATCGGTGGAGGCCGAGGGTGGGATGGGGGGATGCAGTGGAGTGAGATGCGAGGACAGTGGCTGTGTGACTTGGGGAAGAGTCAGGAGTTGTATGTCGCGGAAGCACAGACAGAGACGGTGATGTCGTGGAGATGTTTTTTAGCCTCGGAGAAGAAACAGCTGTGAAGTTTTCGCAATGTGTTCCAGCAGCAGCAGCTGCTGCTGGAACACATTGCTGCTCAAGCTGCTGCTAAAGCCGCTGCTGCTGCTTTGTTGCGGTCACGTGGGACCGGTTTCAACTTCTCCGAATCTCATCTCCAAGGCGGCTTCCCTGCCCGCATTGGGGGCTGCACTGCAACATGGAACAACCTCCTGGCGCCGTTGATGGGCGCAGCACGGCCGACTTGTCACAAAGCTGTCGGTGTGCAGGCGGTGCAACTGCGCCGGCGCTCGAGGGCCGGAGGGGACGGGGGTCGAGATGCGATGCGGTAGGGAAATCGGGCGGATGGGGGGGGGCCGGTAGGGAGCTCCACAACCAGGAGGGGGGGGCACCACAGTCAGCGCCCGGTCACTCGAAGAACAACAAACACCGCAGACGGGTGCGAGGTGAGCGAGGATGTGTGAGGTGGACGAGGTGGAGGTGTGTGAGGTGGACGAGGTGGAGGTGTGCGAGGTGGACGAGGTGGACTAGGATGTGTGAGGTGGACGAGGTGGACTAGGATGTGTGAGGTGGACGAGGTGAGCTAGGCTGTGTGTGCACACCAGGGGCACCTTCGACAAATCTCAAACACCACGAGGGGGGCATGGCCGCTGTTGCCTTTCAAACTCGCGTGGTGCGTGGGGACCAACGAGGAAGCGGAGGAGGAGGTGGGTGGAGGAGGAGGTGGGTGGAGGAGGAGGAGGACGTGGGGAGGTGGACGCTGATGAGGAAGACGGCGGGGCTGGCCACGAGGAGGAGAGCGTCTTCAGCTGCGCCACTTCCAATGCCCCGAGCCTCCTGCCCGACGCTCACGTGATCCTGCGACGAGCTGAACGCGCCATGCTGCTTCAGGTCGAGGTTAACTGGGAGAATTGCAAATTAGATTTTACCCACGGGGATAATCTAGTTTACAGATAACTGGATCACGGCTGGCTGGAGTTATACGCCAGTTTTAAGAACACATCGATTTCACGTTAAGGAGACCGACCGCCTGCATTTGAAAAGCTCCGGACGTGCGGCTGCAAATGAAATCTCTCGGCACGACTTCACACAAAGTGGGAAACTCCTCCTCGACGTCTGCTTCGCCTCTCGTCGTTTTTAATCGATGCGAAACGGAGCGCGTCTTCCGCAGAGCGTGATGCGTTTCGAATGCGCTGCGTCATGGACGAGATGATTTCGATGTTGTCAGGAGACTCTATAAAGTCTTTGCGGGGACCAAACTGAACTTAAAACCCTTGCCAAAGAAACGCCGCTCTGATCCATCAACAAGGGCTCTCGTTTAGGTTACGTAAACAAACGGCCACATGACCCCGTAATTTAGACGTCTAAATAAAGTTGAACAAAGGAGGAATTGTGACTTAATGATGGTGACATTTCGCTGATTGCTCAGCTCTGTAAGAGCCCTTGCTGAGAGCATTGTATATGTTTGTTTAGTTCCGCTTAGCTAATGTCGGTCTCCTGGGTCAGCCACTTGCAGCTGTTCCGTGCCCCAGAGTGAGCTGCCACTGATACACCCCGAATCCCAAACATCCGTTTAGGTGTTAATTGAAACGAAGCTTACGGAGAAAAGAATGTCTTCGTTTTCTCAATTTAGCTCACCTCAACAGCCCATTAATTAGGCCCCCGCCATTCACGTGATAACCCTGCCTCCCCCGCCTTGTAAATGGAGATCCCTTTGCGGTGTTCGGTGAAGACGACGGCGGCCATGCACCACTGCCTTTGACTGAAAGCGCCTCGGCTCCCCCGTAAGGGAAACCCGAGCGCACGGGAACTGTAGCCAGAGGCGTGTGGGGTGGGCGAGTCGGCGCAAGGTCCAGCGCCTTGGAAGGTGACGGTTCGGTGTGGATCGCATATCGATGTGCGAAACACTCAACACATCCATCATTAGTACTGCCCGCAAGAGGAATATATATAATAGGTGACGCTGTGGGGCAATGGGCCGTTCTTCACAGCAGCTCTCTCTGCTTTGGCAGAAAGATCTCTCTGCGCCGTTAAAAGGGGACATTGCCCAAAATGTTGCCGATTATACAATTGTATTACTTTTTAGGGCAGTGTTATCAGCGAATGTGTCGAATTGTGCTTGTGCACCACTGCCACTGGGAGACTCCCAAACCAACCGGATTGCCCGGTGATTAGGCGATGGCAGTGCAGGTGTGCGAGTGAGTTTGTGAATCCGTCTTGCTTGAAAGTCGTGAGTGTTGTACCGCTTGTGTGGCGTGGGGTTTTCTCCAGGCACGACGCAAAACGCGCCTTAAAAGGGAATTGGCCAAGCGTGCGTTTAGAGTATTTGGCTGCTTTAAATTTCCACGTGACAAGCCACTCCGTTGAGCTCTCATTTGTGGCCAAGTCGCTGCCGAAAAAGAGCTATAGAGTTCATTGGGCCTCACCTGGTAAAATGTAGAAAAAAGTTTAGGTTCTAAGCGATATGTTTGTTTTCCTCGTCCTCTCCCGCAGAGACTTTCAGCGAAGATGAGATGAGAGGGCATCCAGCGCTGCTCTTCTCCCAAACTGTTATGAAAGCCGTTGAGTAGCATGGGCACTTAGTTGCAGACGCGACGAAGTTGCTCAAAGGCGTCATCCAATCTGTGAAGGTAGCTGGAAGGACGGAGAGATCACCTGCCTCCTGGGAATAACAGGATTTTGAGGTCACGTGATCGATAGAAGGCAGGCTACTGCCATATGTGTTTAACAATTAAAAACAAACTTTAAAAAAATCAATGTGTTGATCATCTGAAATCCGTGATTACATTTTCTTGAGTACACAATCAAGGGCACTTACGACTACTGTGTTTTGCTCAGTCTCAATATACTGGCCATAGCACCAAACGTTTCTTGATTATAAATTGTACAAAGCACTCGATCGGTGACTGATAATACTTGTTCATACTGTTAATATTAAATGTAAGTGAACACTTTCATTCATAGAGGACCGCAGAGCTTGGTTGGGGGGGGGGGGGCACTTTGGTGGCAGCCCACCGCCTGGCTGCTACCTTGTCCGCTCGCCTGTGGCTCCTCGGGCTTTTGAGTCGTTCGCTTTCTCTCTGCGAGAGGGGTCTGTGGGGCATCGCGTTACAAGCTGAAATTATTATTGACGTCGAAGAACGCCGATACTATTGCAGCGGTGCGTGCATTGCCTTGCTATGAACCTGGTGACCTAAGTTTTATTCCGGGCCATGACTGCCATCAGTGGCGAGCAGTATCCGAGCCAGCATTGGATGCCCCCTTCACCAACCCACAGCGACCAGAATGGTGAAGCATGGTCAAAGTAATAACCATGGGGAGGCCTTCATCCTGTAGTGAATCAGCATCATGATCTTTATTTATCTTGGTGAAATCTGATGTCCAGTCGGGGGACAGGGCGTCAGAGCGTTACAGCAACCAACGATGCAAAAACAAGATAGACGTGCAAAGTAGAGGGAAGGTAAACAAGTCACTGAAAGTAAATAAAATATATAAAGTACGTAAGTTCACATTGCATAGGGACATCAATTCCCGAGCTGGGGCAAGGCAGCAAGACAACAGCAAAGACAGTCCCAGACCACACCAAGACAACATCAAAGACAGTCCCTCGATAAAATTGCACATTAAAATGTAACTATCGGTACATGTTTAAGGATGAAAGTTACAAATCGCATGAGAAAATGCAGTTGTGTCCTGCACTAATCTTCTGGATTGACAGAGGGCTGTAAATGAGCATTATAATACAGTAGTTATTGTTTAGAAATTTGACGAACCGTTCAAGAAAGTGCTTAAGAGTAAAGTAGGTTCCAGGAAATCGAGGAGAATTGGCGAAGAGTTGAGCCAGAGTGCTGAAATGTTATTTTCCTGCTCGCGGTATTCTAACGAGAATCCTCGGGAAATTAGTAGAAAAAGAATCCTGGCTTAACGGCCGACAAAATGGAAATCTCTTTAAGTTTGTGGCGCTATGAACGTCGACAAATCTCACGGTCAGGTGTGAGCCCGTTTCCTCGCCGAACACAAACCCGTAGGCACCACGACAGATGCCTTTTAATTGACCCAATATCCTCGGTACACAACGCATTCCTTTTATGAATTGATGCCTTGTTTGGGGAATAATTAGCACGGCAAACTGCATCCGTCTGTTTTTTTAAGTATGTTAACCCAAAGTATTTTTTAATTACATCAAATTATTGCCTTGTAAAAGCTCTGGGTGTGCTGCACTTTAGAGGAGCGCTCATCGTCTCTGCTGGCGGATGCACAGGTTAATCATGATCTCTCTCTCTCACGACAGGCGGACG